AGGTTTTGAGTTTCAGGACAACAGGTGCTGTACGTGAATGAATATGAACCTCCTCTGTGGCCGATGACAGAGGAGAGGGGGAATAAGATACTACCTGAATCGGCCGAAAGTGGTATACCTAAGACATAATTTCAGGTCTTCTATCTTCTCTATCTCAGTGAATTACCGCGACTGCCCAAGTCATTGACAACATTATTAGTAGATGATGTTAATATTTGGAGAACAATAAGTAGTGAGGTTGATCATTTTGGTCTCCAAGCTGACCTAGACGAATTAGTTAGATTGCCCCAAAGTTATGGCTTATAAAATAATTCTAGAAAGATTGTGCTAATGTACATTGGACACGTCAATATTTGCCAGTATACTATCAACGGTGTGTCTATTTCATACTTGCGGGAGTACAATAACTTGTGGGTGACAGTAAGTCATGACTTAAATACAACTAAGTGTTTCAACCCAGCAGCCACCAAAGGTTTCCGAGAGTTGTTGTCACCTCACTGAGCATTCAGATGCGTTGACGAGGACATGTGTCGGATTTTACATTCCATCTATGCAAGATCATACCTAGAATACTCTTTCCAAGCAACCAATCCATGTCTTATTAAGGATACTAGCACAAACGAGCATGTTCAGCGTGTGAGAATAAAGTTATTGAAGATTCTTAGCTCGGTCAGTCAACCTCACCAGATCACGAATGAGCACGCTGTGCTACGCATCTCTCGCAACAAATAACCAGCAAAGTTCAAACGCTTTCCCAACACATCGACTGCACTCTTAATATAACGTTGACCCCCTAATGTTTCGACTCTGCATAAACTTGGACTTGACATAGAGACGAGGAAATACATATACGTCCATATACTTTTTAGGTCTACTTCATATTTCACACGACTGACATGAAAGACGAAACCTCGTGGCGGTATACTCAATGTAAATAAAGTGGTTCATCCTGTTGTAAACGTCTGTATAGGTAATGGTTGCTTGGTTTCAAGTTCTGTTGTGACTAGCCTAACCTGAAATGCACCGTGGGATAGTCAACGGAGGTGACTTTCACTTTCTAGACTCTTCAACCGGATGGAATTTTATTAATAGAAGCAAATAATTATACGGTACCTATATGATAAGGGAGTTGATATATAATTGATAGGCCCAAAGAAAACTTTCCGAGTATTTTCATTATAAATATGGATTTGATGGGTTGTCGAGTGGATCCTTACGTAAAAACCTACAGATGAATGTTTCCACAGAAATGCGTTAACCATTAACCGGCGTTAAGTTTATGCGTTCCAATCGTCACAATGTGTCCGAAACTCACTTCGTCTAACTGATGAAAGGCTGATAACAGTTCAATCCTTGAATTTCATGGCTGAATAGCTAATCATATATCTCAAGTGTTCTTTGGAACAGTTGAATAAATTTCGGTATACAGAGTAATTCATGAATAAAATTTATGACACAAAGATGGAGGAGCAAGCAAAGGTAATTTGCCAATATAATTGATACAACTTTAAACGTTTTGAAAGTATTCTAACAGATACCATTGAAAGGAACGTCTGATCACGTTTACTTGGTCCAAATATGAAGAGAAATCAGATCCAGTATGTATAGTTGTTAAATCAAAATTTGTAATGTCAATCATAATGGAAACTGTAAAGTTTTTATTGGATTGTATTACATCCATCGACTCTGCCGTTAAAGCGACGCACTAGTGAGCGAGAACCATGTTTTAATCTTTACACGCTTAAAGAACGGTGTGCGAAAACACCAGAGATGTTAGGGCGAAGCAATTTAAATTATATATGATTCATAGAGAACCGATAGAGAGATTTACTGCGCCTTTTTTAATAACAAACATGGTCAATCATTTTTAAATCACGTATATTGGTTGTTTGGAACAGCAAATGACTGGTTTCCTTCGAAATGTCTGGATCATGTGCAGACTTCCGCGATAGAATCATGGTCGTGCCCACGTAGCTGTAGAGTGCTAAAAACAGGGCATTTGTATTTTAGCTATATGTTCGTGTTTCAGAGTTGACTCCGATATGCTGGAAGAACAAAGAACAGCTATCCGGAATTCCGAGGCTTAACATAAGCTAAAAATAAAACAAAATATAGGACCTTTCGGTTTACAGGCAGCTACTATTGAGGCCTTTACTATAATAAATTTTCTGTCGAATTGCGAAGTAATGTGTTTTTTAAAGTTATATTTTGGTTGCGTAGTTTACATATTTTGTTACGACAATTTAGCCAACGCTTACGGATGTAACATTCTGTGCACTGTTTCTTTCATTTTGATTGGTCGCTTGATATTGACAAGAAATTGAGCCAAGTGCTATGGAGTTGTGTTGAAAAGTTGATGTGGTTGTTCTTTCTACGTTATTGTATAGAAAACTCATTACTTAAATTGAGTAGCGTCGCTGAAAAATCCTCTTTTCCAGGTTTATTGATTTTACTGTGGAATCCAGAATTCACACTATATAATCTTCAATAACTTTCTATTTGACATAATGTTTGATATAAATGTTTAAACTGACACAAGTGTAACACCAATGTTATCACCATTAGTTGAATTCATATGATAACTGATCAGTCCCAGTAATGCATATTATTTACTCGATCAGTCACCGATCAAATGACAATAAGATCAGTACAAACGAAGTTACTGTATTTTCTACCTAATTCAGTCCTGTAAAATGTAGTGCCCGCAGTGTCGAATCACCTGGACTAGTGACCACATTGCAACATGATCGATAGCATTCGATCTGCACCAATAAGGACTAGGCAAGCATGACACTGATCACCACCCAGTGATCAACCAATTGTGATCACATCTCAGTCCTACAGGAGCTCAGTCGCGGCTCGGATAGCTCAGTGGTAACGTCTCTGACTGTGAATCTGGATGACAAAAGATCAAATCCGCCAGGGAGCACCAGTTCCCGCAAGATTACAGGTACACCTTGCTGACGAGTGCCAAGTAGCACGAAACCTGGGTCCAGGTTTTCCTGTTGACTACCTCCAACCACCATCTAAATCTCACTATACTGTTTTGACATATGCTTAGTTGTTTGAGGTGAACTCTTGACCAACCAACTTAAGCTGTTACAAGTCCAAATTCTTGCTGATAAATAATGGAACCACACTCATTTCCGTAATCTTGCCAGAAAAACCGAGCTGATGCCTATTTGTAAATAATTTGGTCATGGACACATTTCCCATTTTGTCCTCGGTCTGCGTACTTGTTCTCAAGGATTGTCTTCCGTTCCACTAGCGAGAAATGCGTCTAACAAATTGAGATCCTCCTTGAGTTTTGAGGTGCTAAGATTAGTTCTTTGATGATAACGCCAAGCTATCTTCGTCTAAAACCGAGAGTTGGTTTTACTATGGCTGTATCCACAGTGTAGTTAACCCTGAAGATGAAGGCAGCTTATATTGCGTTCCATGAAGATATGTTGAGGAGAATAATCTTCTATGACACAAGACGTTTATTTCTGATGGATGCTCAACATAACACATGGATAGGATTTAAACTTGAATCTACTGTCCATCTACAATAATTCTGTTCGTATTATACACCGAGATGCCTGCCGCAAGGCTTCAGTGACTTGTCGCTACTAGAAACAAGTCTCATTAAGTGGAAGGTTTTTCTGTCCCATTCACAACCGATGGAACCATTGTTTAAACGTATCACGACTCCCGCGACCTAAGTTTCAGCGCTAGTTGTGGATTTCAGGGTATTTTATTGTTTTTTTCCTCCTTTGTGAAGTGCTCTGTGTTTTTCCATTGCAATAAATCCGACATTTTATTTGATTCTCCTTTGTTGTGTCATGGAACCCTGGTGTCATTTCACATTCCTTAAATTTGTTGTGACTGCTGCATAGTTCCACAAGCAGCTCCGTATATATGGAATTATTTCGAGTAATTTCATGAAATATATATTTTTTAATAGATAAGACCGACACTGTTCACTACAACGTGTCCATATTTCCGTTCGTTTACTTAGATACGGATATTATTTTTCGCCTAGGTCAAGAGTGCTCTTTTTGATACTAGATACAGAAGCCCGTTAAGCGAAAACTTCTATTCCGTCCACAACCATTTGAACTTCGAGGAAAAATTAGATGATTTTGTAAAAAATCCATCTGAGGGAATGCAACAACACCTAAAATGCCCGTTGGCCTTTGGCTTCCATTCAAAATATTCCTGTTGTATGGGACAGAAAATTTACTCCGAATTGAAACGTTGGTAGGTTTGTATTTGTCAGGAAATGTGGGTTAATACCCACACATAATTACAAGTGTTCTCGAAAACTACCGATACTGGTAGAAGTTTTCAACTTGGCTATCACCCATATTCACATAATTAGCTGGCAGTGTACGTATCATATGTTTTCCTTAATCGCTAGGGTACATCTAATAATTTAATCTAAACAATACTATGTAATGCTATAGATCCTACAGGGAGTTTTACAGTTTTACAGACTTTCGTGTTAGAACTTCTGCAAACCTGTCATTAATGCCGACAAAAATCAGTTTTTCATCAATAATGTTTGTTGTTGACAATTGCCCTGGTGTACTCCAAACGTATGAAAAAGGTATCACATTTAAATTATTTGGTTGGATGTTATTACTTAGGATATTGTCGTTCTTCGACTATGCTAAAATCCTTTGTAAAAGCATCGCGCCAGAACTTGGCGTTCAGCGTACTTTACTTGGGTTGTAAGTTATTATTTTGAGGGTTAGTCAGTCAGTCAGTCAGCTACAACGTATGACCAGGCACGTATATGCATCGGTCCAAGTTGCCATACCTCATTAACACAACAAGATGGACACCGGATTCATAAAAGTAGTTAATGCAGAGGTGGTAATATATAAAAGAAAGATTGCAATAAGGATATAGTACATGAAGAAGGAATTAGTTCGTATAAAGAAAGATATGAAGCGATTTCAATCTCTTAGTTTAAGGGAAGACAGGGAGTGTATACACCGACGCCATTGTGATCGATTCTGAGCCATGTCACCCAGAGTTTCCAACCATTGGTTACGATGGTCACGCTGACCCCAACAAAGTAGTTTGCATCTACCAACATGGCTAAGACTAGGAGTCGTGGTAATCGGTGTTCGGGCATACGAAACACGTGGCCCAACCATCTCAGTCGATGAAGATTCACAACCTCATCAACTGATTTGCCATCATTCCCTAATACCCTGCGTCTAACCTCACTATGTTTACAGCTTAATTAACGAGTGTAAGACAGTCGACGAAGGCAACCAATCCATTCATCTTCAAATCTTAACTAACAAAACCTTGATATTGAGCAACTCAAAGTTGTTACTCACCTTATTATACCATATTTTGCCCCAGAATATGGCGAATATATTGGTTATTAGCACATCACTCCACTATTACTTTTGGTAAGGACTACTTGTAGATTGCAAATATCCCGTCGTTGATGACTTGTTTAGAATGACTAGCCCGTATATGAATCAATGTCAAAGGTTTTCCTAAATCCTCAAATGTTATTTGTTGGTTCTTAAATCCATTTTTTACATAAATGTCTTTCGATTCGCGTTAGTTTGTTCGTCTACTTTTGGAACTATTAAGCGATGGTCTCTTGTTTTCCACTGAACGTTTTCGTCTATATAAAAGATCTGCTTTTCTTAGTCTTTAAATTTAGGTTTTCTAAGCGGTACCCCAACGCTTTTTATCGAGGTTTCTTTCTACTGCACGGGTTGCTGATCCTATGCCCAACCCTCCTTTGCCTGGGCTTAAATCTGTCATTAACCCCAGGTCTACAGGCGGAAAAAGACAATTTGAACCATTTAAACTCTGCTATGGGAGTTGGAGGGTTTCCACTAAGAAAAATTACACCTCATGGTAAAAGCCGAAATTCTCCGGAAGTCACGAAGCTTATGTCCCTTCTGACAACCAGAGCAACATTTAATGTAGGTACTTGGAATGTCCGGGCATCGTGGGAGATCGGGCGGACTATTCGAATAGCTACGGAGACGAGGAGATACAAATTGACGATGCTCGGATTAAATAAAATCCATTAGACCCAAGCTGGACAGAAAAGCATAGATTCAGGAAATGCTGTTGTACGCTGGTCATGAAGAAGAAAATGCTTCTCACACGAGCAGTTGTGCTGATTCTGTCGAAAGAAGCACAAACACTTATAGGTTGGGAATCTCATGAGTCCAGGGTAATCGAAATATCATCAAAACAAAGGGGATCACAGTGGATGTTACCCAGTTCTATGCACCTAACTGATGTGTGGTAGTGAAAGTATGGGTAGGGTTAGTCGTTGAACATGGACAAACAACCACAGCCCACGGTCTACTAAATATGTGATTTTCCTTTTATCATGGATTTCCACTCGAGAATCACCGTGTGATCGCTTGTCATTGTATTGAATAAGGTATTCTCTAGTTTTAATCTGGTTCTCTATTTTGAGTCGCGAATCCTGATTTTGGTATAACGTGATTATTAACGTATTATTGTAATATACGTATGGGAGGAAAAAATATTGTAAACCATCCGTTATACCACTAACAATGATAGCAAGGAAGACGATAAAAGCCAGTTTTATGAGAGGCTGCAGTCGGTCGTACAGAAGTACCCAGGAAAGGATCTGACCGTCCTGATGGGAGATCTAACCTTCATAGCCGGAATAGATAATATCAAGTATGAAGATGTCACGGGACGACATGGACTGGAAGGAAGGGACGAGAATGGCGAGAGATTTGCAAATCTATGTGCTTTCAAAAAAATTTTTATGGGTAGCACTATATTTCCCCACGAACGCATACACAAAGCTATATGGGTCTCACTGTAATACACTACGGAGAACCGGATAGATCATATTTGTATCACTTAAAAATCCAGAAGGTCAATGGAAGACGTGAGAACCAAGAGAGGAGAGGACATAGCTTTAGATCACCACCTGGTTGTGGCCAAGGTGAAATTGAAACACTGGACAATCAGAGAAACACCATTAAAAAGGTTTAATACGGCTTTCTTTCGAGATATTAACAGACAAAGAATTCAAGATAGCTCTCAACAACATGTTACCAGCCTTACATGAACTCAAAAATGAAACTATTATGGCTAAAAAGTATTCTTTTCGTAGACGTAATGTCAGTTCGTGAATAAAACACTAAACGTAGATTTATTCCCTTACTCCTAACTTTCACATTTATTCGTTTCGAACCCAACAACCGTTTGGCATTCTACTTGTAGAATCGTTCGAGGCCGTACATATGCTTTCGTCCCACCGTATGCGTTATGTTTCTGATCTCGGTCTTGCTGTTTGAGACGTGGCCATGTGCTCTGTGACGTTGAAGCTCCATTCTACCATTTACAATTTCATCGCTAGTTTATTTTCCCTTTTGTGGTTCAGTTATGATTTTATTTGGAGTCTCTCGTACTACTTTGTTCTTATGGTATTTTAAACTTTATGTTCTACTGGGTTATCGATTTGATTGTTATCATAGTTTAGTTTTGCTAAACTTAACCATTGTTAAATAAAGTAACATTTAGTACACTTTTAATACTGTTCCCTCAATGTGTTGTGAGCAGCGCAAATTTAGGTCTGTGCTCACTTGTTACGCATGCTTAGCCATTACATACCTCAGTGTACTGGCGACGCCGAATTATATTAGAAGACTGTTATAGATTGCCAAACCGAAGTGTCACTAGTCTGTCTTATCATTGACTATTTTTTGAGCTATGTGATAAGGTGCATATATATATATATCATATACTCTAGTATTATATTTCGTTTTATATTAGTCTTTTCGATTCCTTACTCTTCTAATTTGGTTTGACTACTCGAACCTAGTCACACTTTTTGAATGACTGCTCAAGTACTCGATTGATAAACTTGTATAATATATTTTTCTTTTGAGATCACACGTTAAACTTATTACAGGTCTAAACTAAAAATAAATATTTTTTCACTCCGTTCACTACAGTAGCAAGTCAATTAGCGTATGATGCTACTTCCAAATGTATCGCGAGATTTGCAGATAGCAATTTTCAAAGCTTGTAAGTTGCTTATTTTCATTTCCATCTTCTAAAGACCCTAAAAATATAAAATCTCGTAATGATTGGTTTAGTTTTCTCAATCATATGGAAAGAAAAGTTAGATCATTGGATCGAGAGTCAACAGCGACTAACATACTTTTAAATTTATACAAAAGTGCTGTAGATGTAAGTTAATACATCAACAGTATATATACGTTTGTATGCTAGTCATTAGAGGTGGATTGGTCAGATGAGATTTATCTTACAATTTTTATCAGAACAGCAGTTTTAGCATCATATGAGTAAGTTATTTATTTTAGTTATAATTTAAACTTAGGAATTCGGACTGCGGTCCTGCATTTCTGAGCTTATGTTCTATAAATGGACGTCGAAATCCACAGTTGATTGCGGCCGTAGCTTATTATTATTCTAAACAAGGTAAGTATCTGATTATTATCAGCTCATTAAAATTTCCAGGAGATAAAAGTAGAGCTAAAAGTCTTTTAAACTCTACAAAAAAGTGTGTAGACATATGTGGGGTGGAATTGTTGTGTAGAGCCGAAAGTATGCTAGATACAGACGATGATTTCAAATCGTTATTAGGACCATTTTATTACAAACCAGACTTTTATTTCCAAGGTGAGATTTTTATGGTAGATAATAATTGATTATTTCAACTAGATATAAATTGTTCTCAGGCAAGTTCAAGTGAAATTTCTTCAGTTCTGGATTCTACTTGTCCAAATGAGTAAGTCTATGTTAACCACTTAAGGATTTCTGAACATTCCATATCAATCAGTAACAACGTAGAACTTCGTACGTACGTACATCAGTTCAAGTTGCCATTCCACATTAGCACAGAGATGCAGTTGTCGATTCAAATCCCATAGTGGTAGAGGTGGTGAGAGTATAAGCAGTAATCGAAAACATTAGGGTTTAAAGATGTTATTCAAGGAGTATAATCCAATGAAACAAATTTGGAAAGAGGAAACAAGGGATATGAAGAATTCAGGAGATTAGAATTTGTGAGAACACAAAGAGTGGATGCACCCGCGCCATTGCAAACGATTTTGAGCCATGTCATTCAGGGTTTCTAGCCATCGGTCCCTAACCATGTTGTCTACACCTACCAACATGGCTTAGTCCACTTGTCAGTGACTTCATGGATTTGTGCCACGTTTTGGTCTGGCCACCCCTAGCTTTCTTCCAATCTGCTCCTACACCATAAAACATTGCACGTCGGGGCAGTCGGTGGTTGGGCATACGTAACACGTGTCCCAGCCATCTCAACTGATGAAGTTTCACCACTTCATCAATCGATTTGCCATCCTTACCTAGTACCCGTTTCCTAACAACTGCATTACTTATTCGATGCTCCCAGGATATACGAGCAATGTTTCGAAGACACCTTTGATCAAATACTAGTAACCTACGGATATCCTCTACTCTTACCGGCCATGTTTCACTACCATAAAGTAGGACGGAACGAACTGCTGCGCAGTAAACACGTTCTTTGGTTGATAGACGGATATCTCGCCTACGCCATAAATGACGCAAGTTGGTAAAAGCTAGTCGAGCCTTCTGTATCCGTGCTGAGATTTCGTCACACACCAGACCACAAGGGCTGATGAGACTTCCAAGATAAATGAAGCGGTCAACACGTTCAACTACTTCACTCCCTATCATTAGTTGGGGTGTCGAAGCAACCCAATCCTGAAGCAACATTTTGCATTTTGAGGTGGAGAATCGCATCCCGAACATGTTTGCATTGTTGCTCATAGTAGTCAAAAGACTGCATTTTGTCAGCGTCTTCACCAAATAGAACTATGTCATCGGCATATTCTAAGTCAGCAAGTGAATCTCTCGGTTAAAGTTCAACCCCTGGAAATTTAGATGAGGAAAGTGTCATCTCCAAAATCATGTCTACGATAAAGTTGAACATTCCATATTATCAAATGTGTGGTACTAAGCCCATCCTTCTAGTGAATACTATCGTAATATCAGTCCATCTATGCAACTTAGCTTTCTGTATCTTACGATTATTATTGTTATTATTATTTGTATTATTATTATTATTATTATTATTATTATTATTGTTATTTGAACACATAGATATTGGTACAAGGAGGCACCAAATACATATGAGCCAAACAAATCTCATTTAAATTGTGTGAAGGCTGTGATACTGCTCGGGTGCCCAAACGGAAGCAGGTGGTTTTCTTAAAGGGCCACACCCGGAGCCTTCGACCTGAAGGTCTGATCCACAAGGCAGTGGAGTATCGTAAGGAGATGCAGTCCTATGGTAGCCAGTGACCAACAATTGGTTCATACGCCACTTGTTCTTTCAGGATACTGGAGCCAAGGTGCACCATTGGTTTGGAATCATGGTTTTCCAACTACCCTAGGTGGGCTTTCCATGTTCACCAACCCGGTTAAAGCGCCGGACATTCACTTTTCGTTCTCTCACTTTCGTAAACAACACCCTCATCACGAGAAGACAGTGAGTAGGACTTCCCTGGCAGAGGCTATATAAGCATGGTCATGTGAGAGCATTTCGAGAGGGAGAGCGGACTCTCCCCACTCTCGGCCGTACCAGGGCATTTAAGGGCTTTACGATCAGATAATTAGTAAAAGAGGTTCCCAAGAAGAAATCAGATTTCAGCCAAATAAGTACATAGCAAGTTGTTGTTGAACTGTTAAGCATGGAAGTCGTTGGGTGAATTATATTCGTAAAGATCTCAGCATCGGAAGTTAAGTAGTCTCAATGTCTCGGTCGGAAATGTAGCCTGAGCTGCGTCACAAAAATAATCATAATCGATATGTTAATAAAGGGCCTCGCATTTAATCACATCATTCGTGACTTGTATATGACCTAGTACTAACCAACTTATTCGACTTCCGTCAACATAAGTTGTACCACATCAAGGTACTTATCTACTTTAGTATAGTTGCCCCGACCGTTTGTTGCTACCTTGACGTGGTGGTCGGGCTTACCTATCGTGATGAACCAACCGAGCTATAATGGCTGGAACAACCGTTCCTCAAGGTCCTACCATGTCAGACAGGTCGGTTAAAAAGCGGTAAGACTAAAAGCAACAAACCCAAGGTCCGAAGGCGAAGTCGTACTGCTGACTGTACAGAGGTGTGACAGCAGTAAGGTGCTTCCTTCAGACAACCAGCGTGACAGCGATGCTGCCTTCCCACAAGGAGGGGTGGGGTTAGAAAAAGTCGACCCTAAAAATGCACACCTCGCCTTATCCCACGGATATCCGTTTCCAGCGGTAAGGTCTCAGCAAGTACGGAGCTAACACAAAAATTACCCATAAAAAGGTCGTGTGTGACCGACCTCAAGCAGTTGTCACTTGGGCACTGCGGTCACGCTCTTAGGTCACTAAGACCACCTCTAATCCAATTTCCTTTTCAGGTACCTCCAGAAGAACCCTTCCACGGTGTGTGCGACCGGGAAGTGATAACCGCACTCATACCTCTAACAGCACTCAAGACCACTTTATTCATAATCAACGTCTTTCTTCAGTTCCTATTATTTTTCCTACGGCAACCTTCAGCACTAAACTTCCTCTTTTGACTTCCTCCTCAAATATCATCATAGCCAACGATTCTAGTGCTCAAAACACTGTCCCAGGTCTACTGAAACCTCGCTCCAAACTACAAATTCGAGCCTTCAACGTACGCACCCTTTGTCAAATCGGTCTGCAGGCCTCTTTGGTTGGGACTCTAGAATCTCGTACCATTGATGAATACTGCGTCTCCGAAACACGTATACTGGATCCTAGTGTGGTCTTTCACTTGACTCCACCTCGCCAAAACGAAGAGCCGACGAGATACACCCTCCGTGTATCTGGCGACCCGATGGTCAGTTCGTGTGGACTGGAAGGTGTAGAAATAGAACTCAGCACGAGGGTGGAACAAGCACTATGAGAGTGGATCCCTGTTAACCGTCGTCTATGTGTTGTTCGATTAAACGGATCCATAAGAACTCGGAAGGATAGGGAAACACGTCGTTGCCTTTTCGTCGTTTCTGCCTACGCTCCCACTGGCTGCGACACGGACGGAGTGAAAGATGACTTTTACAGAAAGCTTCAGAAAGCTAAACGCTCAGACATAGTACTCGTAGCAGGTGACTTTTATCCCCAGATGGGTAGCTTAAACCAAGCAGAAAGACATTTAGGTGGGTATTTTAGTATCCCACCTCAGCGAACAGATAATAGTGATCGTCTGCTGCAACTGTGCTCAGACAATCGTTTATTTTTAGCAAACACAAATTTTAAGCATAAGGAGAGACATCGTCTAACATGGCGACCCCCAGCACCAAACCAACGATGGACTCAAATAGACCATATTGCCATCAGTCATCGTTGGAGAGGGTCGGTAGAAGATTGTCGCTCATTATGGAGTACCTGCTTGGACTCCGATCATGCGCTAATACGGGTAAGCATCTGCTTGCGCCTCACTGGACGCAAAAAAGCCACACTAGAAAGACCCATTAGAAGTGAATTGAGTAACGAGAAAACCAAAAGTAGGTCCCAGGAAGAACTGAGGTCACACTTAGGTAGTTCTGAAAACGAGGCTGACCCAGATGTTGCTTGGAAAGATTTACAAGCAGCTGTGAAAACAGCGGTGATATCTAATAGTGACTTAAACAAAAGGGTTACAAAGAACCATTGGATTCTTTCAAGGTCTGTTGCACTGGTGGATTCTCGTAAACTCGTCCCATCAGGCTCTAAACACGATGATGAAAGAAAGAAAATCAGATCTAGGTTAAGCAAAAGTCTAAGGAACGACCATGAGCAGTGGTGGGCAACGAAAGCGAAAGAGATGGAAAAGGCGGCGGCTATAGGGAACACAAGACAGCTCTACAAACTAATAAAAGAAACTGGAATTAATAAGTCAAGTGTAAGTCAGACTATTTCGGAAAAAGACGACACTCTCATCTGCTCTCAGTCCAGACGTTTAGAACGATGGGCGGAACATTTCAGAGAACAGTTCAGCTGGCCTTCAGCTACTCTACAACTACCCTCCATTCCCAGACAGTGTGAATGGAACATTGAAGTAGGTCCCCCAACTCTAGCAGAAGTTCAAAAGGCTATAGTTAATCTGAAACGAGGAAGGGCAGCTGGTCCAGAGGGATTGGCTCCAGAGGTCTTTAAGGATGGTGGTCCAATTTTAGCGATTAGGTTGACTAATATTTTAGCTAAGATCTGGGAGTTAGACGTTATCCCATCTGACTGGTCACAATCACTTATCGTCCCAATATATAAGAGAGGGTTAAAATCATCCTGTGATAATCATAGAGGGATTAGTTTAACTAATTTAGTATCTAAAATACTAGCCTCGATAATTCTCAGACGCCTAACTAAGACTCGTGAACTGCAAACACGAGAGAATCAAGCTGGCTTCAGACCTGGTCGTAGCTGTATCGACCACGTATTCACTATTCGTCAGGTTTTAGAGCTCAGACATGCTTATTGGCGTCCGACAAGGATAGTTTTCCTTAATTTAAAAGCAGCACTTGACTCCGTGGACCGAGAGGTTCTGTGGCAGTGTGTCATTGAAAGGCGTACCTCAGAAGTACATAAACCTTGTGAAGGCTCTTTACTCGATACTACCAGTCGAGTCAGAGCTTATGGCGAACTGTCATCTACTTTTGCAACCTCAAGTGGTGTCTGGCAAGGCTGTCCACTCTCTCCATTTTTGTTGAACTTCATCATAGACTTATTGATGGAAATAACATTCTCGTCGACTGAACTCTCGGGTATTGATCTCCTTCCAGGAGGTCCACTTATCGACTTAGAATACGCAGATGATATAGTCCTGTTTGGTGAAGACGTTGATAAAATGCAGTCTTTTGGTAGTACTGAGCAACAATGCCAGGATGTTTGGGATGCGTTTCTCCCCATCTAAATGCCAATTGTTGCTTTAGGACTGGTCTGCGTCAATACCTGAACTAAGGATAGGGAGTGAAGTAGTCGAACACGTAGACAACTTTACTTAGCTTGGAAGTCTGATCAGACCTAATGGGTTGGTGTCTGACGAAATCTATACACGGATTCGAAAAGCTCGATTGACGTTTACCAACTTACGTCACCTATGGCGAAGGCGAGATATCTGTCTATCAATTAGGGGATGAGTGTACTGCTCGGTAGTTCGTTCTGTTCTACTTTACGGCTGCGAAACATCACCATTAAGAGTAGAAGATACTCGTAAGTTACTGGTATTTGACCACAGATGTCTTAGAAATATTGCTCGCATCTGCTGGGATCATCGGGTACGTAATAGTGAGGTTAGGCTTAGGGTATTAGGGAATGGTGGTAAATCAGTTTATGAGGTTGTGAATCTTCATCGACTGAAATGGTTGGGCCACGTGTTACGTGTGCCTGAACACCGATTACCACGACGTGCATGCTAACCGGCGTTCGGGATGGTTGGAAGAAAGTTAGGGGCGACCAAACCAAAACGTGACATCAGTGCTTGAAGTCACTAACTTCTAGTCTGAGCCATGTTGGTAGATGCCGACTACTTTGTTGGGGTCCGCGTGACTATCGTAACCAATGGTTGGAGACTGTGAGTGAAATGGCTCAGAATCGATCACAATGCCGTGGGTATATACACTCTTTGTCTTCCCTTAAACTCAGAGATTGAAATCGCTTCATATCTCTCTTTATACGAACTAATTCCTTCTTCATGTACTATATCCTTATTGCAATCTTTCTTTTATATATTACCACCTCTGCATTAACTACTTTTATGAATCCGGTGTCCATCTTGTTGTGTTAATGAGGTATGGCAACTTGGACCGATGCATATATGTGCCTGGTCCTACGTTGTAGGTGACTGACTGTATAGTTGCTGCCTATTTTTCTAGAAATATTGAAGTTATATTATTTCATCTTAATAACTTGTGGTGTGTACAATAGTGGCTTATCTGTTTTAACATTCTTTATGAACTAATGATCTGTGTTTGAACTCATCCTCATCTATTTTCATTTAGTTTTTCAGGTAATACCTCTAGTTTAAATTTGTATACTGGTTTATTCACTTAGTTACTAAGCTGTATTAATTCGTGAAATCATGTATGAGTGATCAGTATTATATTTTTTTATACCTGCCATTTAAAAGAACTTGACGTCATAAACCAGATGTGTGTCCAAAAAGAAACAGTAATAAGTCTTTCTTTGCCTCGGTAACATTACATCTTTTTTATTGCATTATTCATTATTTCAACTCTTTCAAGCTTTGATTACATCACTGCCATCTTTCTTTAGTTCGTAGTTTTCATTTGAACTGACTGATTTCAATCTTTATTACCATTAACATGTTTACAGTTACCTCACTACACAATCATCTATTGTTTGTTAACGCTATGAATCCTAATCACTACTTTGGTGTTCTGATACCTCCCTCTTCACTTTATTTATTTAAGCTTTTTTATGACCTTATCAACTCTATTGGAATTTTCGCTTCACTATAATACACATATTCATCTCTAATCACCTTTGTATTTATAAGTATGTCAATATATATAATAATATAGGTTGTATGCAGCTGATGAGAACCTAACAAAATGAAATGAATTCTTATCATTCTGCACCAATCATTGTTTTTGGTCTTTTTAATGTTGTTTATGCCTTATGTTTTTGGGTAACATGTTTCAGCATGATTAACTGTGACACTGCATTCACTCCCTATCTTCCATACTTACGTTTCCATTCTGTCTTTCCAAAGGATATTTCCAATGTTCAATCTTTCTAATTACCATTTCTACCACATCATTTTGATTCCTCTTAGTATTCATCTAGCCATAATAATATGGTATGCCTGGTTCCACGTTAATTATAATTGACTGATTGATTTAACCCTGTATATTAGAAATCACTATAGTTATTGCAAAGTTTCTGTTAGCCGAATACAACTTCCTATTATATATTTGCAATTTTTGATTCCTTTCAGTTGAAAATGTGTATAAAGTCATTTTACCAGAGTTGCTAGTTTATATCTCAATTATATCGAATCAGAAAATTAATAGATCAAGTTCACAAATTCTGAATCGGTGGTTAGACTTTAGACTGATTGGTTCGTACATGTGTACATTGGATGTTTTTCCGAATGGATACTTGAATACAGGATAATTCATATTTCATTTTAAGAATATCAGTTGAGCAGCATCTAATGTATTTTTTTAGTTTTACAGATTCCTTTTAAGCCCGTGGAAATGTTTTGATCATTGAAATATTTTCCTTCGTAAATTTATTCTAGTCACACAGAAGAACGTTCTCAGTCTGTGATAGACATCAATTTTGAACCAGATGGAAATTCACCAAACTATCCTAGTAATTGCAATGCAGTTGAATCAATACAAATAATTCGTCCATCCAGGGTAAGTTATAAGATGTACATTATAGTAACTCACGTGCAATTGAGTCTGTTCTCATTTAACTCAGTCAAGCTCTTTTGTTAACTTATTTAGCGGACAAAGTCATCCGTACTATAACAATTTATTGTACCTTTTATTATTTGTTGTGCTTGTATGAAATATGTATGCTTGAATATCGCTTACCGCCTACGCATATATTCACTCTGCTAGCTTTATTATTAGCTGCTCAATTGATTCGGTGATCCATTCATTTCCCTATATATATATATATATATATATATATATATATATATATATATATATATATATATATACATGTACATTTACACTCTTACACCCTCGGTTCGCTGACTCATTCATTTGCCTCCCTGCTTTGTGGTCTGAGTTATTTGCTAATAAAACTAGTCGTTACTTCTCTTTGCCTTCTGACTTCAAACACCGTTGAACATTACGTGATAACGGTTACGAGGGTGATTGGTCAACGAAGCACAGCCACTACAACCTGAAAAAATCATGGGAATTCGACCAAATGAATATAGATTTTGCTTTTTTAATGATTTTTATTTTCAATGTCGATTTTCAATAATTGAATGATAACTTGAATAACAATGTTCTTTTATGTATATCTAATGGATCAGTTAAACTGTCACGTTCAGTAGTAATAAATATTTAGAAAAGTTGGATTACCACCAGCTGCGCCATGGCAATTAATAATCATATAAGCTTCATTAAAGGTCCTAAACCTTATTTCCCCTATATTTTAATTAAGGAAACAATAAATGATCTCCACTATATTTTACTTTGAAATATATCTTAAACTAATAGAAAGAAATTAGTAAAGGTATTATACGTGAAAATTATATTCTAAATAATTTCACTGATTGAAATTTAAATAATCCCAACGTTTCATCGAGCAAACTTGTCTAAACTTCTTCAGAGTAATATCAGCCTATTTTTATCAAACTGTTCGTTCTAATATCGACGAATATTCGTATAAGAAATTGGTAACTTTGAAAACAATTTCTTCTTATCAATTTTCGACATAGATGTTATTTCGTTAGGTCCTCCCAAAATCATGTCTATTCTGACTAATGTTTTGTTTTACCATTTCTTTGTGTGTGCGAATGATGAATCTGTGGTTCAACGAAACCTCATGAAACCAGATATCAACCTGTCATCAGTTTTCATAGAATTTTTTGATGTTTTGTTTCATATTCAGGGTCTGACACTAAAGCAAGGCGAACTTGTATGTTCATGATGAGTAACAAACATCTGGGACTTATTTTTCAGAAAACGTGTGAAAAGTGTTTCCCTTAATTTTTCAGGATTCATATAATTTTTCCCGGTCCCTCAAATTACCAGGGCTTCCAGAAGAATTGTCAGTTACTTCAGGTAAATTATTCTTTTATTCTTGTACTCCTTTACTTTTATGGTCATCAGGTCGGGCTTATAGTTCACATTCTATAAATCAAATAAACTTCACAGTGTAGGATTTGACGATACAGTTCAGTTTTTTGTAAGCAGGTTTTTTCAAAACCTTAGTGAAAATAAATCAAGATGGCACTAATCAATTGGTGTGTTTTATTCGTTATATAATAATCTCAGTTGATAGACCATTGAAAACTAAGGAGCACTTCATAACCATCTCATCCTAGTATAATACACCTGGACAGTGTACACCCACAGTCCCCCCAAAGATGGAACCTAGGTCCGTCAGGTCTTGCAGCAAATGCTTAACAAGTTAAACCAATCCCTTTAAAACCCAACCAAGGAATCGGTTAAATTAGCAATGGATAATGTAATTTGTATGACAAACTGTTATGTCCGGACGAAGAATAACAGAATGGTAACTGCTAGGAATTGCTTATGAACTGTTATATATATTCTTATTGGATAGTTGTTAAGTCAATAGATCATATATGTGTTCATGCTTCTTTTGTCACAAGCCTTCATTTGACACATTGGCTACTATTATACGATTTAGTGTTTGTGATTTATTCCCAACCTATTAGTCAAAGTGTTCTATACTCACAATCATTTTTAGCTTGATTTTATATAATTGATATTTTTCATTTTATGGCATGATTTGGTCTGGTCTGCTTGTATATAAACCACGTATGTCTGTAATATACGATTCATACGGTGGGGGAGGTGGATATTGGACTCAATGGGCATGTATAGGCGATAAGTTACTAATATCGAGGACCAATAAAGATTCCGAGTTGACTCAAGACTGCTAGTGCTTGTTGACGTGCCATTGGTCTGGCACAGGAACAAATTCATAGAAGTCGGTATTCTGAATAATTAACAGAGTCATAAGTCATAAAACAAACATCGTCTACTCTGTAGCGCCCAACTTTGAGAATTGATAAAGAAATCAATGACTAGAGAGACCTGGAATTAAGATTTATTACCAATGTTCCGAACGCATGCACTTTTTATTTATTTATGAAGAAATTAGACTTTACTGTTGTGGTTGTGCCATATGTTTTCGATGATATGTGTGCACCGAGGTTTCTAACATTATCCTCCACTGTATGTGTTATTTTGTTGAATTTTTCCGTTGAATTCACTCGTATGGTTATGTTTCTTATTTTAAACTAATAGCGCTGATCTTGAGTAACATATATATATATATCATTGGATGATCCATCTTATCTACACTAATTTTTGGTTACTGTTTCAAATATATTAATTTATGATCTTAATATAGTCATTTATCTCCTGAATGTCACTGTTTATTTTCTTTTATTCATAACTTAATCTTTTCTCCTTTCCTTCTCTCTCTCTATACTATCTGTTTCAGTCACAAGTAATCCACATATGGAATCATTACAACAGCCTGAACTATCCACCATCGTTGGTTCGATCAAATTGAATGGAAGTTGCGAAAAGGTATTTCCGTTTAATTCGGTATGTTTTTTCCTTATTTCCTGACTAGTATAATGCGGAGAAATGTGTGTAGGATGTATAAACTAATAGTATGTTTAACCGTGTATAATCTTAATTGTTACATACGTTTTGTGATTCGCTAGTTTTCTTGATGTAGGTGCAAGTTGGAAGAAAGCTAGGGGGTAGCCAAACCAAAATGTGGCATCAGTCTATGAAATCACTGACTAGTGAATTGAGATATGTTAGTAGACGGCAGCTACCAGGTTACATTGGCTTTACTCAGAATCAGTTGCAATGTCTCTGAGGCACTACTTTATATTCCCTCAGATAAAAAGTTTTAGAATTATTTTATATTTCTTATTCTATGAACTTATCCTCCCTGAACCACTTCGTCCTTGCCTACTGTTTTTTTCTACCACTGATTCTGTTACTACTTGTAGTTTTTGGTACTTGCCTTGATGATCTCATCTCGTCATGTTAATATGATGTGGCAACTTGAACGGATACGTATGTATGCCAAGTTCTACGTTGCTTATGGCTGACTGATTGGCTGTATTGCAATTTAGAAAAATATTGTTTAACTTGGCAAATTGGAAATGTGTCAACTTAACACTTTACCTCATTCAAGCACCTTAATTAAACACTTAATCAGCTATTTAAAATTATGTATTTTCAAAATTCATGATCGTATAGTTTTATACAGCTTGAAAGTTTGACAAGCGTTGGTGTCCTCGTAGTTTTTCGATGGATTTTTATTGTTTTTTTACGTACCCATTTTTTCAAGATACGTAGTTTTTCGTATACTATATGCTGTAATAGTAAGTTTCACTTCTCTTTCTTGCATGATCGACAGTTACCTTCCACATACATATTCGTATTAGATGTATCACATACTATATCTTAGAAGTTTTTAGATTACAAAAAAATCTAGGAAATCTGTATCATCATATTTGTACGGGTTTGTATTTTGTTTATGTTGCAGGCTGAAATCCCTTAGTCTTTTCGGGTTATGTTCATGTTGAGTGGATTGCCTCGATATTGACATTTAGTCTCAACGCCTCAGTAAAGTTGAGTAGTGATCAACAGTGGAATTCATGACACACCTTTCGTTATACTCGAGACTCGTCAGCTGAGTGTATCTGTATTTCAGTATCGATTTTCACACTGAGATTTGAACACATTGCCTTTCGTTTCAATAAGTAATTAATTATCCACTGAACTACTGTGTCCATACAGTCACTAATCAGCCTTACCAAAAATTATCGTCGCTTCATTACTCTTCATTGAAACCGATCTCTGTGAATATATTAAGTGATTTAGTCTAATTACTGTTACTCAATAATCATTCAAGAAACTTGCCGTCATAGGCTCGATCTTTATTAAGGCCATCTTTATACATTAATGTTGCCGTCCAATACTCTCTGGTCTTCAGTTCGTTTTATGGAGTACAAAAATTTCATTTGACCAAATATTTAGGCGATATCCTTAGAAGTTGTGTAACCGCAGCTTTGTGAGCACTGTTTTCTGCGTTTCTGCGATACATATAAGTAGATAGATCGATTGTAGTTACTTTATTCATTTGGTGTTTTTTCCACTTAAACGCCTGGTAGCGACTCAACGCTTTTGTCTTTTAATCACCCCAATTTATTATTCAGGATAAGAAATTGATTTCTGTCGGTGTGCAAACTGAGCTGGTCAATGAAAGTGAACAATTTATTATTGTTAATGGTAAAAAGTATCAAGTAATTAATGAATTGGGACGGGGAGGTTCATCAGTGGTAAGTAGTTGATCCAACATTTACCTATCTTATTTATGTGTACTTTTCTTTCAAATAGCTTAACCACGGAGTTCATGATCGATAAATATTCTGTCATGGTCTGTTGATAGATCTAACACATCATCTAGATCAAAGCTTACGTAGAAATCAGGTGAGAAGACTTATATTCTGTTTAAGTGACATTGAAGTCCAACTTGTCAAAGATCACGCCACGTTCATCTATTCATGATTATAGTGTGTTTGCATGAACGGAGACATAAAATATACATTTCTTTTATACTATTGGTATTGTAGGAAGCAATTTCCTACAGGTTTAATTCTGAGCTATTCCCTAGACCATCGAATACAGAGTCTTGGTTTGGCCAAAGCCAGAACAAGCAAGCTATTTGGCTAGATGAACTTTATCTGTTTCTAAAATATAAATTAACATCGTTAGTGTACAAACAAACAGTACGGTCTATTAATACAGGGAAAAACAGAGACAAATAACATATCGAACAGTAGCCAAAGAATAGGGAAAATGAGTCACAAAGCAAATATTGTTTTACAATGAACATCAAACTGCGATTGGTTAATAAAGAGATACAGTCGCACAAGGTCAAAGGGAGTTAATGTGGTGGTGGGCGTTTCACTTTATTATTGGTGGGTTCGTCCATCGATTACATTTTACACTCTACCCGAAACGCGCACCACGTCCGTTGTCCAGGGTCGTCGTCGTCGTCAGACAGACGGCTCCTTCTAGTAGACATAAGCTTCGTACGTCCAGAACAGTTTCTTCGTTTGCGGTTCTCAATTTCGCCGTACGAACTTGTCCGTCAGAGCCATAGCTTACTTGTTCGACGATAGCTTGGGGCCATAAACTTCTCAGTGAGCCAACATTGTTTACTAACACTAAGTCTCCAGAAGACTCATCCATCAATATCTTCTGAAACAATAATGATCGCAGAATTCTTCTTATCGACTTAATGATGCGTCCTCATACACTGCCTCGTTGACTAGCCCTTGGAAGTTTAAAGCGCCATCCACAACCTCTCTAAAAGGGCATTTACTGTCTTATTCTGGTTCCAACTACACATGATCTGTCTAAGAATAGCATTGGATCCTACAGAACTACCAGATGTACCCTTACTCTTGTTCACAACTCGTACAAGGGCGCCTTTCTCAACACCATCCTCGATACCACGGCGAATATGTGATACCTGCTTCTTCAGGGTCTTAGATACTGGCTTCTTTGTTACAGTGGCCTTCGGCCTTTTCGTAGTCTTGACTTTCAGTTTGGTGTCCTTCTTTTCCTTAAGCTTTCTTAGAGTTGATTTGGGTTTATTAGCAGATGATGCTTCAGTTTTTGGCTTAACAACCTTGTACTTGGTTAATAAAAACGAACAATGAACTTGACGAGAGAGATTTTCGGAACGAGTATACTCCGCGACACCATATGCAGATTCTGATAATGCTATACGATCTTCCACAGACATCGATGAAGTACGACTAAGTGGGTCTTTGAATTCAGTAATTCCTCTTTAGCTGAGAGGTGGTTGAGTGCACGATTGCTTTCGCAGGGTTCCCCATAGGAACCAAACAGCGTCTAACCTAACAAAGTCTTCACGGCAAATGGTTCATTCGGCTTTCCAGTTCTTATCTCTTTCATTTCGTGTACACTCGGTGCGTTGCACCCGATCAACGGTTTGACATTCTCATCCTCTACTCTCGGGAAACTTATGTCTTTTCAATGCGTCCGGGATGTCATTTGAGATGTCGTTGGTACCGTCCTGCGCAACATAAGTAATCTCCCGACTGGTGGAGTTTTGTTCTCTGAGCTGGATGGTTTGATCGTGGAGCTTTCATCGTTCTTCTGAACGACATCATCAGCACAAACTTCAGATAGGAGTGAAGTGTTCGAATTTCTCCATATGTATTTCACAGCTTGTTCTGTGCACCTCGATGTTGATTGGTTCTTATTAACCTTAAATTTGTCATTGTTTACTTCTTTGTTTTGGTTGTGTCTCCCATTGGTTTGATTTTTGTTCCTATATTTGTGCATGATTTTTCTGATTAGTTGATAAATTGGATTGATTTCAATATGTTTGTTGATTGCTGATTGACCTGAGTGCCGGGCTTCTGAAAATTCTCTGGTGTTTTTGGAGTTTCCTCTGTCTAAGATTTCCACATATTTCCAACCGAGTGAGTGTCCGTAGTTGTCCACGTGTATTGATATAAGTGAAGAGATATCGCGGCGTTTGACTGCTAATTGATGTTCATGTAGGCGTAGGTGGAGGGGGCGTCCGGTTTGTCCAATGTAGTGTTTTTCGCAGTTGGTACAATTTATTTTGTAGATAATGTTTGATTAGTTTTCCCTTGTTATTTCATCTTTTGGTTTGCATAAGATTGATTGTAGTGATTTTGTTGGTTTATGTGCCACACCTATCCCGAAGGTTTTCAGCAGTCTCGTTGCGGTTTCTGATATTCCTTGTCTATATGGTAGGGTGATCCTTCTGTTGATTTTTGTGCTTGACTTGAGTTCTAATGCTGCGTGCGGTTGGTATTTTTTGATGAAGTTTATTGGGTAGCCGTTCTTCTGAAATACATCCTTCAGGTATTTCTCTTCATTTCTTCGTGCTGCCAGTGTGCTGCAGTGTGTTCTCGCCCTCTTGAACAAATTGTGTACGCAGTTGATTTTGTGAGCTCTTGGGTTGTTGCTATTGTAGTTGAGAATTTGATCTGTATGGGTCGGTTTCCTATATACTTGAGTTTCCAGTTTTCCTGTGTCGGTTCTAGTGATCAATATATCCAAGAATGCTAGTTTGTTGTTTGACTCCTGTTCCATTGTGAACTTGATGTCATTGAAAACGTTGTTGATCAGTTTGTATGTGTTTTCCAGTTCATCCTTTTTGACGATGACGAAGGTGTCGTCTACGTAGCGAATCCAAATTTTTGGCTTGATCACTGGTAATATAGTGGCTTCTAGTCTTTGCATAACTGCCTCTGCGATCAGTTCTGATATTGGTGATCTCATTGATGTCCCTTTCGTTTGTTCGTAGATTTTGTTGTTGAATTGAAAATATGTTTTCAGGCATAAATCGATGAGTTCCAGTAGACTTTGAATTTGAAGCTTCGTGTATTTATTGAGATTTGTGTCGTTGTTGAGCAGCAGGGATATAGTTTCTTTCGCTAACTGTGGTTCAATTGAGGTGAACAGTGCTGTAACGTCGAAGGATATCATGAGTTCGTCGTTGGGGATTTGATAGAGTGGTTGGCTGAATCTACTAGATGTCTCAGTATCCGTGAAATTTCTTTTGCCAAATTGTACTTTGGTGTTCCGGGGAGTGCTACAATTGGACGTAATGGAATGTTTGGTTTATGTATTTTGGGTCTGCCGTAGAATCGTGGGAATACTGGTCCACTGGATTTCATTCTCCATTGGTCTTGTTTTGTTAATTCTCCTGCTTTGACTAGCTTGTTTAAAGTCTTTGATATTTGGTTGTCTAATTTTTTGACCATCTCAATTTCTCGACTGTCCATACGTTTGGGATTCTAAATGATGAAGACGAATCTAAGGAGGAAACCTCTAGTTGAACCTCTTTACACTGAAATGTGGACTGGTTATCCAACGTTTTCAATAAAATCGTCTTGGACTCTCCTTCTAAATCCAACCTTCTAGTTAGGTCTTCTGTAATAAGCGAAGCATCCGACGCACTATCTAGGAAGGCGCAAGTCTGTACTACCTTTTCTCCATTTCTTACCAGTACAGGCACTTTTGAGAATGCTGCTTGTTTCTGTACACGCTCAACACTTTTCTCCGTACATAGCTGAGTGTTGATGTAGGCATCAATATTAGTATTCTTTTGCTCTTCCCGCAACTCGTGTAACAGGGTATGGTGTCTCCAGCCACACCCTTCGGCAGCACACGACCTCGGCGACCGACAGTTTTTTGCTACGTGGTTTGCCTTCAGACATACATTACACAACTTGTGTCTAAGAACGAATTCCTTCCTTTCTCTAACATTCTTGTCTTTAAATTTCTGACATTGATCTAAAGAATGATTACTGAAGCACTCCAAACAAGATGAACTGCGTGAGGGAGCATTATCATCATTACTACCGCGGTTGACAAATAAGCCGTACCTAGTATTAGCTATATCAGCTTGCTCCTTTACAAACTCAACAAGATCGGTAAACAGAGGCTCTCGGCCTCCTCTGATAATCTTATAAGCTACCTTTAGTCACTCTTGTTGAATGTGCATTGGTAATTTCAGAACCATAGTTTCAATAGTTCTAGAAGAGTTCAAGCCAGAAACGTAATTCATCTGTTCGAGAGTCAAACTACATGCTTGCATTTCTCGAGATAAACTCCTTATATTGGGAAAGTTTAGCAAGTTGTCGATAAACGTGCGTGCTACAACGTGTTTTCGGCCAAACGTTTCCTCTAAAAGCTTTAGGGCTTGATGATAACCTATCTCTGGTTCTAGTATAGTATAGCGGCTTTCGCTTCTCCGTTACAGTATTGAATCAAGTAATTTAGCTTAGCTCTAAATCCAATATTCTCACTCCCAATGCATTCTTCGAAATTTTAATGAAATTCCAATAATTTGTCGGTGTACCATCAAACCTTATGACTTCTCTTTTCGGTAAATACGGATTTTTTTAATATTGTATTCTCACTGTTGCTTACTGATTGCTCGGAACCTTCACATCTCTGGCAGCTTAACTTTTCTAGTTCAATTTCTTTTTCTAACTGGGTTATGCGCAACCAAGCTAACTCTAATTCTGTCATGCTATTGTTTTTGAGTTCGTTCTTTTCAAGTTGGTCCTCGTCATAAACTCCCGAATGATGGGGTGATAACTCTGGAATCTTATCGGAATCGTAGTATTTATTGGAAGTCATTTCAGTAGGTATATCGAATCTACTGTTCGAAACTTTGTAGGAAGCAATTTCCTACAGGTTTAATTCTGAGCTATTCCCTAGACCATCGAATACAGAGTCTTGGTTTGGCCAAAGCCAGAACAAGCAAGCTATTTGGCTAGATGAACTTTATCTGTTTCTAAAATATAAATTAACATCGTTAGTGTACAAACAAACAGTACGGTCTATTAATACAGGGAAAAACAGAGACAAATAACATATCAAACAGTAGCCGAAGAATAGGGAAAATGAGTCACAAAGCAAATATTGTTTTACAATGAACATCAAACTGCGATTGGTTAATAAAGAGATACAGTCGCACAAGGTCAAAGGGAGTTAATGTGGTGGTGGGCGTTTCGTCTATCGATCACATTTTACAGGTATCCTACTTTTTATTTCCTCATCATCAACGAGAGTAGTCAAGATAAAACATGTCAGGAGTTAGTAAGAATCTATATTTTTTAGCATCAACTAACTATACACTGAAGTTAATCAAAGGGGGCGCACCTTTTAAGTTTTATTTTACATTGAAATATTACTCCGCTTCTGTTACTAAATATTATAAATTATTAGTGCTTAATCAATATAATATTGTGGTGTACACTACTTATGTCGGCAGATATAAGTAGTATACAGCACCAGTCGGAAGTGGGATGTCTGCAAGCAGATGATTGAAATGGAAAAAATACGGAATAAAACTCAAAGCAATCAAAACAACAGCAGGAATGGAGGTACTATAAAGTTTGTAAGAGAAAACTGATGGAGGATTTGCAAATGATGTATATAATGTATTGTTTTTATATTTCACGAAGATACTGTAATGTTGTACTTAACAATAAATTGGTTATCTCCGACCAAGTCTTCGTTTGCTACAATATGTGCAAGGATATGAGAAACACAGAATTCGTCAGTATTATAAATTTGCCAAAAAATAAATGTCATCTCTGCTTCATTCACTCCTAGGTGTATTGGGCTATGGACTCCGATTTAAATCCATGGGCGGTGAAAAAAGTTGATTTGAAAAATCTTACACAAGAAACAGTTACGTCGTATATAAATGAGATTGAGATGCTTAAAAGTTTGATAAATTCCGACAGAATTATCCGACTATATGATTAGTAAGTTATAAATCACTTTTTTATGTCTTAAAAGTAAAACGAAATATTTTAATCAAAAATTCGAATTCATTAAATTCTTATTTGTAAGATGCATCTTATGTGAAGTAATACAGATCCCTGCTTGTCTACCTCATGGCGTTCCTTTCATTGGGCCTGTGGCTTATTTATTGGTTAATGTGTTCGACTTTTAGCTATTAAGTCTTAGGCTCCTACAATTAATTTTGTTTACGGTTAACTTTGTCAAGACCTTTAATTATCTTATTTAACAGATAGTGTTATTCGAACAGTCTATATTTGTACTATTATGATCACCATCATGTCTGTATAAACGTGTGTGCTTGATCACATGCGACAGCCTACGCACATATCTCTCTCTAGCTTAAATATCGCTCAATGAATCATTCTCTTTCCCATGTATATGTGTGCTTGGTTCGTTTCGCTTCGATTCGATTTGACTCTGAATCCGCGTCTGTATTCGCCTGTCTGCTCCAATTCGCTCAGTGTGTTTGTAACTTTGTTGTCTGTAATATTTAATAATAAACTTTAGCCGCCACTACGTATTGCCTTCTGAATTCATACAGCGTTTGGATTTATTTAATAACGGTGATTGATAAGCGAAACCCTAAAAAATTTGCACTCCGGTTTGGGCAGCTGGAATATATCACTAGCTCTCACAATTGGAGTACACCTTAAACCCAAGTACCTGGTGATCGAATTTATTTTAGTTTACTACTCATTGACTTGGGGAATTCAAATATTTAATCCATCTTAAGCTTTGGGACCTAAGTGGTGGTCCCTTACTTACTTATGCCTGTTTCTCCCAATGGAGCATAGGCCGCCGACCAGCATTCTCCAACCCACTCTGTCCTGGGCCTTCTTTTCTATTTCCATCCAATTCTTGTTCATTTTTCTCATGTCTATCTCCATTTCTTGGCGTAATGTGTTCTTTGGTCTTCCTCTTTTCCTTTGGCCTTGAGGATTCCATGTGAGGGCTTGTCTTGTAACGCAGTTGGATGCTTTCCTCAATGTGTGTCCTATCCACTTCCAGCGCTTCTTCCTGATTTCTTCCTCCGCTGGGATCTGGTTTGTTCTCTCCCACAGTACGTTGTTGCTAATAGTGTCCGGTCAATGGATCTGAAGTATTTTGCCTAGACAATTGTTAATAAACACCTGTATTTTCTGGATGATGGCTTTCGTAGTTCTCCAGGTTTCTGCCCCATACAGTAGAACTGTCTTGACATTTGTATTGAAAATCCTGACCTTGGTGTTGGTTGGCAGTTGCTTTGAGTTTCAGATGTTCCTCAGTTGTAAATATGCTGCCCTTGCTTTGCCGATCCGCGCCTTCACATCTGCATCGGATCCACCCTGTTCATCAATGATGCTGCCCAAATACGTAAAGGTTTTTACATCTTCCAAATCTTCTCCGTCAATTGTGATTGGATTGGTGCATTCTGTGTTGTATCGGAGAATCCTGCTTTTCCCTTTGTGTATATTGAGACCTATTGCTGCTGAGGCTGCTGTCACACTGTTCGTCTTCTCCTGCATCTGTTGTTGCGTTTGGGATAGAAGGGCCAGATCGTCTGCGAAGTCTAGATCATCCAACTGCATCTTAGATGTCCATTGTATCCCGCGCTTCCCTTCAGATGTTCACGTCTTCATGATCCAGTCTTTGTTAGATTTTGTTTTCTAACTCCCCTTCACTATATACTATTGGATAAGAGCGAATCTGCTCAAAGCTATGCGAACTTTCAAGTTAGATTCTCTGTGTTTTCTCATCTTTTTAACATAAGCTGATCGTACATTTATTGTCTTGATATTTAACATTTTTACAATTTCTTTTTCAAAAATGTTTAGTCACTGTACATCAGAAAATCTCATACTTGTTATGGAGAAAGGAGATTGCGATTTGAAAAGTGTAATTCTTAGCTTTTGGTCTGGTGGTGCAAAAAAATCGCCTCGTTCACCATCAGGTATGCTTTCATCTGGGATTGTATTCTACTGGGATCAAATGTTGCGGTGTGTGAAAGCACTTCATGATCGTCGTAAGTTTATTTTTGTTGTTAATATCTTGTTGCAATGTAGTTTTTCGGCAGAACGTGTAATGAGGAGAAAATATACCGGATTAAAATTATCGTGGATATTCATAACAATATCTAACTAGATCTAGACAAAATATCGAGAAGAGTCTAATCCGAACAAATTTATAGTTGATTGACTTTAGTTCACTAATGTCTAAAGATATAACAAATGTAAACGAATTAAAAGGTATCTGAAAATAAAATAAAAAACAACCATTTGTTATATGTTTATTAAAAATACAAGCTAATTCACTAAGTAGTAGCTAACCAAGTTTAAAACTTTTCTCTTACTCTCCGTTTACAACTAATAATTTCATAGATTCGCTTCCGGGGATCTGTAATTTTCCATACATGTAAATACCTAAATGTACAATTTTACTATTTAACTAACTTCGAAAATTCGTAGTTTTATATTGTGATATCCTTTGATTATCATTCACTGTTACACAAATTCAATGGTAATAAGTTCTTTGGCATGACCAATTCATTGCTTAGTTTCATTTTTATTTATTTTATGAAATTTTGGATAATTTTATGTAAATCCAAAATAATGATTACTTCTGTTAAGTGTTTTTTATCTTGATTATTTTTTTCGCTACTCATTCTAGGTATTGTTCACTTAGATTTAAAACCACAAAATTTTGTTCTAGTCTATGGACAGTTGAAGCTTATTGATCTAGGGATTAGTCGTCTGTTACCAGATGATTCAACAACTGTAAACCATTGGCTAAAGTTGGGAACATTGTCTTTCATGAGTCCAGAACAGTTGGAAGAAGCTGCTGCTATTCCCTCATCCTCATCTAGCCTAAATCAGTCGTTTTTCTTGGGTCCTGAAGTTGACCAAGAAAATCGTTTTAAGGTTGTTTTTTGTTGTTTCCAAATAATGCATTTATTTCATGGAGATATTTCTATCCTCAGAGTTTACTTTTCTGATATAGATTGCATTCGTATTCTCTTTTTCACAATTTTAATTTTATAATGAAACCTTTCAAGTTAATATAGAATATTGGAAATTTTACTGCTGAGCTGTTGATCAGCGAAGAATACAAAAATACGTGGCTCTTAGCCACATTATTGTGCTACTCGGTTAGTTATAAGCAACATAGAATCTGATGCATATGCGCATTGCTCCATATTACCATCTCATCAACACAGTAAAGTTAAATGATCAAAATAAGTACCAGTGTAGTAGTTTTTAAAGGGTTTATACGAAAAGAATAAACGGATGATTTGATTTGCGAAGAAAGGGTAAATTTATGGAATAAAACATGTGAGATAAATTTTGACCACATGATTTGAAGATATACCAAAAGTTAATAGATCTGCGCCACTTTAAATGATCACCCACAGCTATGGGAGCTAGTGGTACTACCCGTTTGTCCAGACCCAAGTAGATGAGGTAGGGTTAGTTATAGCACCTAGCGAACTACTACTTATTGAACGCCAAGTGTTTTAAGTACCAGGCTGTCACCATTCAACTCATTTTTTAGTCGTATCAAAGTATTATATTATCACCATAAAAACAAATTTTTCGTTGGTTATAACATTATGGAACTGAATGATAAACCAAAAGATCTCAGTATTTCTGAAACGCAGGACATATTATATTTCATATTGTATTAGTGTAAACAAATGGTAGCAGTAAATTACACACCACAATCGAAATATTTTCAATAATTACCCTGCCCTTATGTCCATCTAAGCTCATAAAACTCTATCCACAGGACAGCGTACTTACTTACTCCTGTTACTCCTTATGGAAAAGCGTAAGCTGCTCATCAGGATTCTCCATCCAATTCTGTCCTGGGTAGTCCTTTCCAGTTGCTATTGTTCCTTTTCATGTTTGCTTCCTGTTCCAGACGTAGTGTGTTCTTTGGTCTTTTTCGTTTCCCTTCAGGATTCCAAGTTAACGCATATATTGTTGTGCAGTTTGATGATTTCCTCAACATATGTCCTATCCACTTCCAACGTCTTTACTTAATATCCTCTTCTGCCGGAAGTTGATTTGTTCTCTCTCACAGTAGGTTGTTGCTAATGGTATCCGACCAACGAACATTGAGTATCTTGCGTAGACAACTATTTATAAATACTTGTACCTTTTTCATAATGGTTGTGGTAGTTCTCCACGTTTTAGCTCCGTTCAGTAGAACTATCTTGACGTTTGTATTGAAGATTCTAACTTTGATGTTGGCTGACAATTGTTTTGAGTTCCATATGTTCTTCAATTGACGGAATGCGGATTTCAAACACTTGGGATTCGTATAATAACGGTTATCAAGGTGATTGATTAACAAAGCCAAGCCACTACATTGTGTCCGTAAATTTAAAGCACACCCGTTCAGTGTTCGATACGTGTGCTATTTTAAGTATTTTCCGTTCATTTAGCATGTGATTGGTGTATGTAAGAGCATAATTTCCACACACGATCTCATTTCAAGTTTTACCTTTCACTTTATTTGCTATTTTTCATCCGGTAAGTCGGAATACGTTACAGTAGCGCGTTCACAAAAGATATACGTAGATAGCTTTTATGTTTGAAATGAAATCCCTAGTAAAGAGCATGGCTATATACATACACTAAGCGTACGAAAAAATGATTGGAAATCCTAGATATTGCATAACTGATCGTACTCACTCCACTTCGCATACGCTAGCGATTACTTCAGATGATTTCTTGAGTTTTTGATATGATGAGAAGGAAGTCAACTCATCGAAGTGGAATTGATGTTTGAAGTTGATAATTTCTAGTCATCTATGATATGTAATTGCAGCTTAAAAGAAATAATTATGTAACTCAATAAATCTTAAATATATTTGTTGGTTATAGACGTTCATTTGTGTAGTTTTCATGACCAATGTTCGACGTGATTATTTCAAGAAAAATTGAACATGAAATAGATTATAAATAATAAAAAATAGTTGGATTTTACAAATAAATTATAGTTGATTCACGAGTCGATCTAAGCTAGATTACTACTGAAAACCTGGAAGCACTGAATAGCCTAGTATAATACTCCTCAGTAGTTCACACCCACGATCCTGTACACAGGTCTCAAATTCAGGATTTTCGGACACGCGCGCGAACGCCTGAACTCTAGACTACCGATCCGGCATCCAACGGATATCTAACTTCAATCGATCCATGATTTTGTGCAACCCTTCATCCGTTGTCTGAGATGAATAACTGTCCCACACCGTTCACTGATTAAACTCCACTATCAATGGCTTCTCACTAGAACTTCGTGTCACAAATCTTTGTGAACAGTTTCATATTATAAATAGAAGTGATTTCTTGTGTTTTTAAATATTCAATAAAAGTTTGTTTGTTTTGTTACTACGAAAGGTTGGTCGTAAATCGGATATTTGGTCATTAGGTGTAATCCTTTATATGATGGTCTACGGTCAGTTACCTTTTAATCAAGATAAACTTCACTCTCGTCTATCAGCCATTATAAGTCCCAGTGTAAAAATATCTTTGCCAGCTATCAAGAATAAATCTATTTATAAGGTAAGCAAATGTGACAGTTGTTGTATTTCGTTCTGTTATCTGGTTGAAGAAAAAACAGTATAATTAACAGGTGTCTTTGGTCTATTCTGTGTATAAGATTCTTTCGAATATAAATAAAACCCTGTTTAAATAATCATTATCGAAAGTCGTTAGATAATAATTCTTTTAGTAATGGTTTGATTACTACTACGACTGGAAAAAAGACGTCTATGTTTCCGAACTGTCTATTTTTATCTTATCATTAATTGTAATGTATGGTATTGTTCACTGTTCAGTGATTAATCAACGTAACTACAAATACTCTCGGACAGGCGAAACAATTATAGACAAATATTGACTCTAACCTCAAAAAATATATATTGGTACAAGGAGGCACCAAACAGATATGCGCCACTAATGATTCGGTTTGCGTAAGGTCTGTGATACTGCCCGGGTGCACAAACCAAAGCAGGTGGTTTTCTTAGGGAGTCGAGCCCGGAGCCTTCAACCTATAGGTCTAATCCAAAAAGCAGTGGGACAACAACAGGAGATGCAGTCCCATGGTAGCCGGTGACCAACAATTGGTTTATACGCCATTTGTTCCTTCAGGACTCTGCAGCCCATGTACACCATTGGTTTGGATTCAGGGTTTACCAACTCCCCTAAGTGGACTCTCCATATCCACCAACCCGGTTAAAGCGCCGGACATTCACTTTTCGTCCTCACTTTCGTAAACAACACCCGCCACGAGGAGGTAGTGAGTAGGACTTCCCTGGCAGTGGCTGTATGCACGTGGCCATGTGAGAGCATTTGGAGAGAGAGCTGACTCTCCCTGCTCTCGGCCACAATATATATATATATATATATTCAGCTTATGTATTAATTGTTCGATGTGTCAGTCTACGTTCAGTATGAACATAGAAAAAGGCGGACGATTCAACATGACTATGAATTCCAATAACTAATAATGATCGGAGTTAAATTTGAATTCATCAGTCAACTGTGAGGGAAGGAAATTGTAAAATCAGATAATAATCACTGATTAGTATTGTTTTTAGTTTAGATTGTGTATTGCATGTGACAGCAGTGTTGACGGTTAGATTTGATTAAAGATTTATACTATAGATAATAAAACTGGTGTAACTATTGTATAAACTCCTTATCAAAATCAATCTTGTTTATGTAACATCCTAGTACTTTGTTTATCAGGCAACACATATATATTGCGAATTTTCAAATTCATCTTTTCTAACACTTAATTTAACCATACAATGAATGTTCACTTTGATATATGCCGTCGTATGTATCGATTGTCATAAACACCAACGATTAAGTGTATAAATGGCAACTTGATTAATGGTACTTACATAGTTTTATTGATGAACAATTAATCAGTAGCGATATTATTTAAGTTTCAATATTCTGTGAATATCAGGTATTAGGGAATGATGGTAAATCAGTTGATGGGGTTGTGAATCTTCATCGACTGAGATGGTTGGGCCACGTGTTGCGTCGTATGCCTGAACACCGATTACCACGACACGCTATGCTAACCAGTGTTGGGGATGATTGGAAGAAAGTTAGGGGCGGCCAAACCAAAACGTGGCATCAGTGCTTGAAATCACCAACTTCTAGTCTTAGCCATATTGGTAGATACAGACTACTTTGTTGGGGTCCGCGTGACTATCGTAACCAATGGTTGGAGGACCATTGAAAAGCACGGGGAGCATTGGGTGAGCGTATCGTTCTAGTTCTAAATAATGCGCATTCACGCGTTATCGAACTAATAGCTTGCAAGCTGCTCGGCAAGCACCTTATACCTTTTATTTCACGGTTTTCTATTTCATTGGCTATTCCGCTGACCGTGATTCATGGTGAATATTGTATTTAAACAGGTACTGCTCTTTTTTATTGTTATTACATCCATAATATTCTTTTACCGTTTATTTTCTAATTCGTTGTAGGCATTAGAACGGAGTTTAGTTCGAAATCATTTAGAAAGAGCATCTGTTGATGAATTACTGAGTTATGAATATGTGTCTAGTACATCAGCTGCTGACTTATGGTAGTGTTATATTTTACTTTTAATTTCTTAATTCTATTATATATATATATATATACAGAAAATATTTGACAAGAGCACCCCAGTTTATATTCATGATTGGGTTTTGATACCAAAAAAGTCCTATGAAGATAGTGAATAATAGCTTGATATTATTTCACATTTATATAATTTTGTTGTAACGTTAACTTATCAGTGTCATATATATTCCTTGTGTTTTTTTCTTTCAAAATTTTTCTAGATGTCTAAAAAACAGTCCGTTATTCTGCAATACCGGGACATATTTTTTTGTATATATATGTACATATTTCTTACTTGTATTATTTTTTTACATTTATAGTTTTGCAACCTATTTATATCATTTAGTAATTTATTTTCCCTTCCTTTGTTCATTCTTTTTGTTTGTCACAATTACTTCCCTGTGTTTACATTGTTGTTTATTTTCTCCATCCAGTTATTTATTTCAGAGAATCTGAAGACTCAATCACAATCAATATATTGTAGTGTATAAGTTTATAGTAATACTTATCATCATACGATTGATTGAATATTTATATCATGAATTGTTTTCTTTTTTATGACGAATAATAAATTATGTTTCACAAACATTTATAACATTTTCTTAGTATGACTTTGTTATACATTGAGTTAGTGATTGTTTAGAAGTCTCAGGTTCCCAATCCAATCACCTAACTAGGTCACACTTCCTACTCGATAGACTTGAATCCCTGTATTTTGGTTTCGTTCACAGTGTAAAATAATCATGCATAGGATGATTAGATGTGAAACGACGAAGCAGTTAGGTCTGACTTTTATGGACTTTTGAGAATGCCCTCAGTAATGATTTAAGTGTATTATCATAAATGAGGGGTAAACTTTGAAGTAAATAAGGTTGGTTTACCCTAATGTACTAAAAAATATTTCTCTGATCTCCCTCGAGGTATGTATTGGACGGACTAATTGTTTTAGTGGTACGGGAAGATATGTGTAGTTTGGAATTGGTGTTCTATATCATATAATGTCTGTACTTGCCATCGATTTTCGTGAAAACTATCTTCGAAAATAGCTGACTAAACTGAAGTAGATGAAGCTAATTTAGGGATTGTGACTCACTGGTTAGAAAATGGAAGTTTCAACTTATAAGTTATCCCAATACATAGCTACATAAACCTTGGTGTTCACCCTCCGTGTGCTTACATTTGCCTACTTGAAAATATTGACTAGAAATGTATCGTTATGTCAAAGATTCCTACGATGATTGGAACACGGTGTTGTTGGATCAATATGGAACTAGGGGAGTAGAGTTGTCATGTGATCCTACAGTTACTGCAGCGAAGTAAAAAAATGAAACAATTACGCTGCTATAGATTAGATGATCAGCAGTGCGAAGGAGTAATGGGTGACCATTCGAAACTTTCGTGTATGTGCTGCAATATTTTATACTGTTGAGATATTTGGAGACGTCTTTGAATAGAATCACATACTTCGAGCACGAGCTTATCTAAAAAAAGAAAGCGTTATATAACCTTCTGTGGATGTCTAATAGCTTTTAGAAAGACGGATTATAGCGGAGAGCGAGTCTGCGAATTAGTTACGTTCATTGACTACTAGTATCAAGTTTTCGCTTGATATATCGAGTTTGATGAAAATCGGGTACGATTGCGATGGCATTGATATGAATTTTGCTTAAGCCAGTTGTTAAGTGCCTACAAATCGTCTTCATCTAAACGTTTATAGATCAAGTTACCATTTAATGCGGTGGCGTTCAGTTTCTGGAAATCAGCTTATGTGTGATTATGCCTAGTAATAATGATAGTATTTAAAGATCCCTGAGTGGTTGCGGCTATTTTTAGCTGGAATTATGTCCAGTCTCTGAATTTGAATAGTCGCTACATTTTTTGATGCATTGAAATGCTTCCATTAAATTAAATCTTGAAGTATGGTATCAGGATCTTAACGTTTTGAGACGATTGCACTAATAATAAATATACCTTTGTTACATTACATTTGGTAGAAAAGTCGTATTTCTGACGTTTCGTGGCTTAATTTAAGCCACTTCTTCTGAGTAAATAAACGACCGACATTAACTCAAGTTTACATAGCACAAAGGAAACAATGCAAAATATTTTTAGTACAATTAAAATCATAATAGGTCTGAATATGTCAATGTGAAATTATTATTGATCAAGGGATCTCTAGTATCGACGATCGTCGCAAATTTATTTATGTCCCACATTGTGACGATCGTTTTGGCCAATACCATCAAGACCACTCATCTGGCTCAGATATGCAGATGACACATTTTTCATTATTGAAAAGACTTCTTACTAATTTTTCAAAACATCAAATTCACTGTCAAAAAGGCAGATGAACATAGTGGACCATCGTTCTTAAACTGTTTGGTTAAAAAGAATTCTAATGAAAGCTATATCCCGAAAAACGACACACCCAAATCGGTATATTGATATTAACTCTGCACATGCATTTAGTGCCGAAATTTCCCTAACCGTAAATCTCTTCAAAAGAGCAACCAAAAACATTACCTCAGAAGAAGACAAGCTGAAAGAAAAAGAGAATACAACATACGTCCTACGTTCTAACAATTTTCCTAAAAATATTACCATAAACATATTAAAACAAAACTGTCCTTCGGTAAATAAAAACCTAATGAAATTTCATGTATTAGTACCGTAGTTTTACCTTACCACCACGGTACAAAAGAATTGCTGCGGAAATTTAAAGGTTTCTATAAGACAACTAACGCATTAGGAAACGCTTTAGTTGGAAATAAAGATAGGTATCCGTTCACTTTCACTCAAAATTGTCTACAGATTATGCTGTATCGATTGTGATGCGTTCAATGTTGGAGAATCTCCCCGTAAGACCTCGACCCGTACCAAGGAACATTAAAGTTACACAAAAACCTAATAATTCTCTAAAATTGGAAAATTCACAAATCAGCAATAGCAGTACATTTTATTTCCAATATTCACCAAATTGATATTAAAAATATCAAAATAATTCAGGAAGGGCTTTCTGACCACAAAGAGATGCGAGTAGCTAAAGCGTTTCACATAATGCTAAATCCCACTACCCTAAATAGGAATGAAGGCCTGAATGATTCATTAAACCTGAACTGTTTTTCCAAACAACCACATCCGACTTTATTTTTACACACACAATCTCAACCTACTACTTTATATCACAAATGTGTACATCTCTCATGCCTACATTCTGACACACAAATTAGTACAGTGACAGGCCATGCAAGAATAATTTCACATTGACATATTCAGACCTATTATGATTTTAATTGTACTAAAAATATTTTGCATTGTTTCCTTCGTGCTATGTAAACTTGAGTTAATGTCGGTCGTTTATTTACTCAGAAGAAGTGGCTTAAATTAAGCCACGAAACGTCGGAAATACGATTTTGCTACTCATTGTAATATGACACAAATATATTTATTATTAACTCTCTACACAATCCTCAATTTATTTGAAACTATGAAGTCCAACCTTGGTATGGATACCTGCTTTGCACTGATGTTAATAATTTCAACGATCATAGTATTCACATTGTATATTGACAATATCTCATACAAAATTGGACATTTTGATCAGTCCTTTTGTTAATAATAACGTAGAATGTTAAAACTTAACTACCAAGTCAATCTCTTAATTGTAAAGTGTAAGAGTATTGAAATCAGTCGAGAAACCAGTTGAAGTTTGGAAGCGCTAACAAGTTATTAACCAGCAAACGGTTGTCTTTTTCGTTCGCATATACAGGTTTCGGCTTGTCACTACTTAATACACAATAATTTTCTCCAATATCTCTTTGTTCAGTTATTTTTGTGAAAAAATATGGTAAATTAGCAGAAGAGATAAATCTGTATTTGATATTAAGAAGTATATATGTATATTGAACACAAATAATTAAAAGAATAGACATAGAGAAAAAAGCCAGCTTCATAGATGTCATATATGAATATATGTAGACTTGTATACGTTAATTAATATATAACAAGAGTAGAATTCACAAAGAATAATGGTGTATATTAATAATGTGTCATTGTAAATCAACTTGGAAAATAAATTAGAATTGTCGTACTATAACACGTAATTCACCATATATTTTATACAATGTACGGTATATATACGTAGATGAATGGGAGTTAATAGGTTTGCAGTCGATTATGTAGACAAAAGTGCAATTTAATGGTTTACCATAATACATCATGCCTACTGAATATCAATATCAGTAGTTTGAAAGCATCTTAACAATAAGCAATGATTTGGTACATTGTATTTGAACTGCAACCCACCCATATACTTGAAATTTAGGATTATGATTGAGAATTCTTAGAATTAACAGAAAATTGAATCAGATAATACGATTAATGCAACAAATAAATGCCCGCAATACAATTTACACACATTTAACCAATAATAATAATATATAAAGATGTACGTTTCTGGTAAAGTGAAAGACTTAAGTGTAATGTAATGATATCAGCAAGAACAACTTTAATGTATAATAAGAATTATCTGAAAGACAGGATGATAAAATCTCATATTTATATTTTAACAACGAGTAATCAAGAACGAAAACTAACATATTAGGTGCATAATTAAATGAAATGTCAGGAAACAAGTTATAGACAAGCAATTTTAGAAAATAAAGTCAGCAGGAAAATTCGAGAGACTAATGAAACGCAGGGATTTGTCTACTTTCTACACATTCAATTGAGTTGATTTTGTTTTCTATTATTTTCTTTTCATAGTTCAGATCCATTCTGTTTATCCCTGTATATATTATTAGTATTGTAATCTTATTAATAAAATGCATAAGATGAATGTCCATACTTTATATGAATTAAAATATTAATGATTTCCGTATTTAGAAGTAAAAATAGGGAGAAAAAAATAATCAATTAATTAATCAAACAATACTAAATATTTATTCTAGTAAATTAATGCAATTTTCTTCTAGACGAAGTTGAATAGAAATGATAGACATCTCAACATGTGATTATAGAATTAATTATTACATACAATTTAGATATAGACTGATAGGCTGAGCGAGTTAGGCATATCACACGTAGGTGCTCAAAAGTTATCTTAGGGTTAAAGCGTAAGTGAAAAATTGTAAATGGAACACGCTGTTAGAGGACATCGATTATATTCTTAGTCAAGATCTCAATTTAAATATATTTGACTGTATTGGAAGGATAAATGCAAATATAAATTCTGTTAATAATGTCTTATTTCCTTTCACTCATGTCATATTCCTTCCAAAAATTATTGGTTTTTTCTGTTTTGTACGTAATAAACTATTGTAGTGTAGGATTTATTTGATTTAAAGTATAAACATAGCTTTTTTTTTCATATAGCGATATCTGAGATGAGATTTAAAACTACAAAGATGATAAGACATAATACTGACAACGTGAAAACCAATGTGGTTTCTCAATTTCAAATTAAAAACGAGACGTATTATTCTGTGGTAAAGTTTCGTAGAAAAATTTTAAAGGGCCAAATAGTTTAAAGCATTCGTCCCATATAAAATCGCATTCTAATTGAATGATTGTCATTAATGTGGAAATTATTGGAACATAAGATCGAAATAATGGAAAATGTCATCATAAAATTACGTTCTGAGTATTTGGAATGAATTTACGACAAACCATTAACACACATATTAAACATATAATTGTGGCTTAAAACAAGTGACATGTTGCAAGCAGTTGGCTAGTATGATTTCTCATATTATAATCACGATATATATATATATATATATATATATATATATATATATATATATATATATATAGGCTCAGAACCGATCACAATGGTGTCGGTGTATACACTCTCTTTCTTCCCTTAAACTAAGAGATTGAAATCGCTTCATATCTTTCTTTATACGAACTAATTCCTTCTTCATGTACTATACCCTTATTGCAATCTTTCTTTTATATATATTACCACCTCTGAATTAACTACTTTTATGAATCCGGTGTCCATCTTGTTGTGTCAATGAGGTATGGAAACTTGGACTGATGCATAAATGTACCTGGTCCTATGTTGTAGCTGAATGACTGAGTGATATATATTTATCCAGTATTTTAAGTAGTAATTCAAAAATTCCTCAATTATATTACATCACCATGAGTGCAGGAAGTATATCAATCCGAAGTATTTATAGATATGATAAATAAGCTGTAGAATAAAAAAATTGACATTGGTAAAACGTTTGATAGGCATTATGTAACACGATAAAAAAATGCAGTTTACACAACATTAAAATGTGACAACTACTACAGTTGATATTTAGACTGTGGATTACGTAAGTGATCAACAAGGTCAATATGATGACAGTGATAATAAAGAGGACAACAATGAATATATAGATGAATAATTATGTGTGTACGAGGACCATGCAATCTATGCAGCCGAATATATACAGACATGGATACACAAACGATCAACAAATGGTGTATATATGGTAACCAAAATACTATTAAATTATGTAATCAAAACTGTATGATATCTTTACATACTTTGTGATACTAACTGGTCATTTTTATTTTATTATTCTGATCCTGTATTTAATGTGTACACACTAGGATAAATGTATGGATAACTATAAACATACGAAAACACACACATACAATATGCACATGTGTGCTTCTCATTCTAACTCACACGGATACGTTTACATTTTATAATCTAGAAAAAATATAATTAGTTGTAAAGAGAAAAAAAGGCAAATAACGAGATGTCAACATTAAATAAAATTAGTAACATATTACACATTAAATTTGTTTAATTACAATCACATGGGTAGGTAGATGTAAAAATGTAATCAAAATTATCATTGGTAAAAAAACATCACATCATAAATGATGGAATATTCATTTGTTTGTTTAATGTCTTTTCTACGAATTCAACTTCAAGCGATTGAAAGTGATGATAATAACAATACACTTTAAACATGTCATGTCAAGAGTTATGCGCATAGAATTGAAAAGTAATAGGCAGATAAACAAAATATAATTATAACAACAAGGATAATTACACTGAATTAATCTAAATGATGTTTATGAAGTAGGTGGCAGTTAAAATGCTTTAAAAAAATAAATCACTAACTAGGTTGTTTCATGTTTGGACTCTACACTTCATGATAACTTTAAATTAGTTGATTAGTAGTAGTATAGATGTAGTTCTTAATATTGAAAATATAGTTGATACTTGCAACCAAGTACATAGGTATAATGCACTTGATAAACGAGTTGTGTTACAATGGACAAGACTTATAGTACAGGTGGATGGATATTGTTGGTGATGTTGTGTTTTTCAACTATAACATGTTTATTTAAATAGTGTCATGAACTCAAAAGAACGAAGATTCTATCAATATATGCACATGACTAAACATCATATGTGGGGTTTCTTAGAATGTTATATATTAAACATAACAAGTACACATTTATAAACCTGGCTTTCAGATATACTTTAGGTATGAGGTTAAGCGACACCACCCTTCATATCTAAAGAGAATTAGATGGAAGGCAGGTCGCGAAACTGAGACCTAGTGTTTGAAAGTTATTGCACTGATGGTCTATACAGGAAGAAATATTCGGTGGGATTTTCCAGTTTATCACGAAACTTAATATCAAGTCTTATAGTCCCATTTTGTTCAAATGAGATTATTACATACAACTATGGCTAATAAAAACAATTGCGATGAAAATCTCTAAATAGAAAATTATAAACATGAAAGAAGTCATGGAGTATTACAAATTAATCCAATTTTACGTGCACCATGTATGAATAATACCAACTAACAATCATCTATTCAATAATGGTTTAGTGATATCGTTAACGAACTGGATATATGTTTCGCCTTAGTATAGGTTTCCAAAAAGTTAGGCATATAGTCCCATACAATGAACAACTAGCTGTTCAGTGCTTCTTAATTTCCAATAGTTGTCTAACTAAGATCAGTCTGTTATGTAAGCTACAAAATTTCAAATAACTTTAACACAAAAACGACATATTTTACCATGTGTATCCTATGCTATAAACATATGGTATGATTACCTGATGTTCTATTTTAATAAAAGCATTTAAAATCAGAATTCCTAAAGAAAAGTAGTCGATAGTTTTTTTCAACATTCTCTGCTGATGAATATTTGGTAATTACAGCTTGCTATTTTCAATGACAAAATAACTCATGAATACACTAATTGTATAAAATAAAGAGCATATTTATAAGCGGGAATTATTTTCAGGAACTTTGTCTTCACTTTTTAAAAGTATTGAAAATTCACTCATAATTTATTACAATTGGTATTATATTAGAGAATAATTATAAAGGTTTTAATTATATTAATCAGTGTGTTTAGATTGGAAATAATGAACTTCATCCACATTAAATCTTAAATCTATTACAAAATACGTCATATGAAGCCAGAAAGTTGATGAGGTTATAATCATTAGTGAAGAGTCATGTGAATGTGAAACTGAGTAAGAGAAATGTTATTTTGTTGTTGTTATTTTGATCAAAAGTAACGATAATTTTAATGTCATATGAATTTAAACAGATGAATGAGTAATCACTAATCTTCTACGAGTATGGACATGGCAAAGCTAAACATAAAAACAATATTGGAAGATAAAATTCTTCAATATGAAACTGACAAAATCAGTTAAATTAAGAATGAGATGACTATATTGTGTGGAAAAAAACAGACAAATGGGTTGAAATAAATAGAATACAGTAATATAATAGTAATAAGTCACATAGTGTACAGAAAAAAAAGGATTTCAATTCCGATTGATCGTCATCTATGATACTGTAAGATTAGCACTGGCAGGCTTATTGTAGAAAAGTAATTTCTACTTTGAGAACTACAATGAAGTTAGAGAAAAACATAACAGTTTGAGTTAATGTAGAACTAAATCCCAAAGAAATTGCATTATCATCCGCTTATCATAGTATGTATTGAACAAAATGTGACTCTTAAAAATATGTTTTGTGTATATTTGTCTAATTTGTGAGTAGTATCTATTGCATATTAATTCCAGTGAAGTTAAGTCCTAAGAACTCGGTTATCTTGGGACAACATTCTTGATAGGGCACCAGGGCAGTATCACAGCCTTCACATATATAAAATGAGATCTGTGTAGCGCATATGTATATGGTGCCTCTTTGTACCAATATCTATGTGTTAAAGTAAATAAATAAATAATAGGGTCATGAGTCCACACTGTTGAGAAAGAAGGAGCTTTTTAGTGCTCCATGTTTCCAATGCTGCGTCAATTGAGATCAGTCTGTGAAAAACACAGCCTACATCTAATACAAACGCGGTATTGTGTATATAACCAGAATAATCAAGAGAAACAGTAATATTTATGATGTCTTTTGATTATTGATTCTACACAGTGGACAAATACGTATTTACTAGTATAGGGGTTGTGGAGATTATTAAGTTTTTGTTTGAGATCATGAACCGATTGATGTTAGACCATCACAATTGAAAACCTGGAAGCACTGGACGGCCGTTTCGTCCTATTGTGGGACTCCTCAGCAGTGCGTATCCATGATCCCGCGAGCGGGATTCGAACCCAGGGCCTTCGGTCTCGCGCGCGAACGCTTAACCAACTGGACCACTGAGCCGGCATCCAATGGTGACAGTTTCTAACATCAACCAATCCACGAAATTGCGCAACCAACTTCCGTTGTACTGAGGTAGATACCTGTCTCTACCCGACAAGGATTAGCTCCACTGGTCACGCAATTTCGTGGATTGGTTGATGTTAGAAACTGTCACCATTGGATGCCGGCTCAGTGGTCCAGTTGGTTAAGCGTTCGCGCGCGAGACCGAAGGACCTGGGTTCGAATCCCGCTCGCGGGATCATGGATACGCACTGCTGAGGAGTCCCACGATAGGACGAAACGGCCGTCCAGTGCTTCCAGGTTTTCAATTGTGATGGTCTAACATCAATCGGTTCATGATCTCAATCAAATACGTATTTATTGTTATTAATTAAAGCACATTGACACTAATCTAAAGATATGTATTACACCATTAAACGTGTTTCATCATCTGTAGGGACGCAGGTGCACACTGCTGATTTGTACAAAATTAAGAAAGAAACAATTGTCTACTAGTCTCTGGTTTTCGACAGTTTATTTTCTCTAATTTTGATTTCTATGGAAAATGATGTCCAAAACGAACTAATATGTTCACCAGAAACCAAACTATAAAATAGTAGGAAAAAGTTTTTACTTCACACACAGAAATGGTTAAAATACGATCAGATTGAAGTTGCGATGCATCAAGGTTATTTTTGGTATATGAAATGGAGCAGACAGAAAATCTAATATCTTACTACAGAAATCAAATGTAAAACAGTGTATGTGATTACACAGAAGTCATTATTATTAGAAATCTAGGAAGGGTATTTGGTTATTTTGTCAAATAAGTTTTAAAATAGAAGGAAACATAACAATCAACCATTATTATTAGGGGCTTTACATGAAATTCGACGAGTTTTACAGGGGTATTTGATGAAATTATTAGATAAATAAACTATGGTACACTGTACTGGAGCAAATGTAGAAGTGATACAACTTCACGTGAAACGATACCAACCAGTAGTGATTTTCTATAATTGTCAGTATTAAAATTCGTATTCAAAATGGTTAAGCAGGTAATAATAGTGATGATTGTACACTATTTACTATATAGTAAAAGGTTTACGACCTCGATCACTTTCGTATTAAAATTGAAGTTGTGTTAAACAAAAATAATGTATAGATAAAATTGTTTGAACATTAACAAAGTACACGAAAAGATTTGGAAAACATTTGTTGTTTTTTTTTCGAATGGATGTCGATGCCTTTGTATTCGTTCCACTCTGAAACTCATCTACAAATAGTAAATAAACTATCCGAATGGATTGACCTCATTAAGAATGTGTATACCAAGTATATCTATGATTGAAGATTCGTCTGAGTCGAAAATTATGACAATCTGAATTAAACAGATTTAGTTCATGATTTTAAAATTGTTTTGCTGAACTATCCGTTGGAAGATAAATGTACTTTTAACACGACGTGAGCTCTTTCTGAAAATATCTTTCAGGATTAACTTGATTAGCAGTTACAAATAATTGTGCAATTCAGTCAGTAGTTTCATTCAGGATAGTTGTTTGCTAATACCAACCCCTTCTATGTGACTGTTCGGAAATATAAATTCAGAAAGAAACAACCTGGATCCCTCTGGGGTTAGAACACTGGTCTTCAATTTACGAGTTTTATTTGTTCACATTGGTTCTGACGTCAGCCTTACTCTAGATTATTGATATTTCCGAACAATTTATAGCCAAATCAGTTTTATAATAGATTATTACACATGTCAAGTTAAACGTACATAAAATTGTACAACCTAATTAAATGATATCGCCGAAAAGAAAATTTTCTTCGCTGATAATACATATGAATATGTTTAAAAAAATACAAAACAGAGAAAGACAAATAGGCAGAGAATAAATTCTTATACTTGGCTTTTTTCTAATAATTAAAATTTGAGCATTTCAATGTGCTGTTAGAAGCTAACACTGTTGGTAAAACTGTTATTGTATAGAAAACAAGAAGAACTTTTAACGAAAAACGAAACTTACATTAATATGATTTTGATCATTATTCTTTGTTACATTCGGATGACGAAAATGAAATCTTATTGGAAGTGAAGCAAATGACAAAAGAGTTTGAGTGTTATTTGACGCTGACAGTTCACTAAAAAATGATGATGGTGATGGACTGGTGTAAAGATTAACTGATGTATTGGAATTTTGACTAGTTGATGGTAAAGAATCATAAGTCATACTGCTACTGCTACTACTACTATTATTTGAATAATCAGATAACTGTGATCCAATTAACAGATCAGATAAATCTGTCATGGAAGTATGTAGTGCTCGAGCACGAACAGATCTAGTAAAATATGGTTCTCTGGCAGTTTTATTAATTGAATATGTAACTGTTGGTGATGATGGTTTGATTGTTGTGGCTGCTGATGACTGATTATTTCGGATGAATAAAGGATCTTGAGAGTACAATGTCGTCCTAATGAAAAGGAAACATAGTAACAATATAACGTGATTATGACTACAAACTATCAAAAAGTTATTACTACTAGGATGTAATGAGAATACACATATTTAGGCCAAAGTGGAAGCGAACCATTTTATTTATTAAAATTACACCTGTTTAATATCATTCTCAAATAAATTTTACAGTTGCAATCAATGTTACAATAATAGTTATTTGTATATATGCTTTATGACAACTAAAGAAGATTACTTTATAACTATATTATAAGTTATATTCTTCAATCAACAATTAGATTACGCGTACTTCAAAAAGAAAAAGGATAGTTGAGGATAAAAAAAGAGTTTGCAATTTCATGCATGAAATCTATTTCAGGCGAAACTGGTTTGCAAGAGAGTGTAAACTTGATAGGTAAAATATACATACATTACAAAATTATGCAACAATATACATATGGGACTAGTCAACCAATCACAAACACACAAAGACTACTTACACAGGTAATCGGATTGTTTTTGTTCCTGGACATTTTGTAGAATGACGACTGGAAGAAGTATCGACAGTTGAATGAATATGATTTGTTTCAGTGAAATAATCACTAGTGGTGGAAGATGTTTGTTTGCATAAGTGATGTCTTTGTTGTTGCTGTTGTTCTTGGCGGACACTTTGTCTAAGATTATATGTCTGGGTTTTTATTGAACCATGACTCTTATTATTATTATTATTATTATTATTGACATTAAAATTATCTATATAATTCAGTGTAACTGGATTTAAAACATCACTAAAACTATATCGATTATTGGTAGACATTGGAGAATAATTCATATTGTTTAATGGATCTAATTCACTTTGTACAACATTGTCATATACAGGAATATTAGTCAAATTACTATTGTGATGACCATAAATACATTTTGCATTATTACAGTTATTGTGTTTGATATCAACAGAGGTAGCAAATGGGACTATATTACCTAAATCAAGAGATTTTCTTATTGTTGATGATGTACGTTTTATTGGTACTGATGTATGATCCATTGTCATTGGTACTGAAGTATCGCTTGTGATAATTGTAGTTGTTGTTTTCATTGATGGTGATGCAACTGATCGGTTAGTTAATGGAACTGAATTACCAATCAACTTCCCTTTATCAACGTTATTTTTAGTAATAGTTAGATTGTTATTAATATTATTATCATCAGTAGTCGGTTTAGTACGTTTCACTCCGATTCTATTGCTATAAAGTACAAAGACAAACAAATAACAAACTGAAGTCTATGAAATTCTGAGCATAAAAACTCATAATGTATCATTGATAATTAGAATAAAACGATAGACTGACATTTATTTATTACGCTTGAACAAGTGTAGTTATTAAGTAATACAATTAAACACTGACTAATAGTATTATTATGTGAAATTAATCGGTTAAAAGTTATTGTAAATTAAGGTGTACATAATATAGTCATTAGGTTAAATGACTTTGAAGACCAGAGAAAACTGTAGTCAGAGAAACGTAAACTATACAAATTTTTATAAAATAGATGGGTGACAGCTAGTAGTGCAATCTGAGATATATATTTTATTCTATTTTGAACTTTTTAGCTGGATAAATTTGTGTGTCAATATTGATGTAGCTCAACGGATGTTAGGAGTTTGAAGTGAAAAATACTGAATTGAAGTTTCAATGTGGTCATCAAAATTTGAATCCAGATACACCTAGATAACAAGTTTCAAATAGGACAAAACCAGCGTACTGAAGTTCACTGCTAGCCACAAACCATCTATTCTCTAAAAGCTTATGACAAAATGGCCTGGTGGAGGCAATCCAGACGGAATGAACAGATGCTAAGATTGATTAAAATAATAATTTGAACCGCTAATAATAATGACGTGAATTGCATGTGAATCGATAAAAGAATTTTGCCACTATTTATTTATTTTGGTTAAATGAATACGGAGAAAATTTATCCATCAATATAAGACTGAGAAACGATATCAACAAGATAGACTGATGTGATATAAATGAACGGTATGACTGCTAAAGAATCACTAATTACAACTTCAAAAATCTCAGAAGCCAAAGTTTTTGTCTACTTAAAAATTTACCTCATGTGCAGAATTATTTCTAACTGACAAGTAAGTAGATAATTAAAGTGGTCTAAAAATATTGCTACAAACAAAAGTTATAGAGTAATCTATCATTAAATCTATAACGTTTGATGGTATTTAAAGAAATCACTTTCGATTTTACCAATTTATGTCCTCTACCACGGGTATCATCTAGAGCACTTTATTCACTTAATTTTGATGAATTTCGGTCAGAATAAATCAAACGATTTATGTGTAAATTGTGATGACATAGAACTAGATATGTGTCTCTGAAAGAAAATATTTGCAAAAGGACTTTTTATGAATAATTGTCGAAGGCTTAAGTTTGAAGAGGTGTATGATTCGATAAATGCATATCGAGATAATCGGATATAGTAAACTCATGGTGTTTGTTGTGAATGGATAAAAAAAACATGACAGTTAGTTTGTAAAGCACTGAATTAACAGATTTCTCTATTTTTTATTATTACTATTTTGCACTTTAAACTCTAATCATTTATTACTATTACCTTTTACAAGTTTTCTTGATTATTATTCAGTCTATTATTATGACCTTTGTTGTTTCCACAGATTGAAATCATGAGTCAGTTGTTTTGTCGTTTTTCTTCATATCTGTCAATTGGACTATTATCTGACCCTTAAATTTTGTTCTTCCTTACCCCTTGATTAGTACGTTAACCTCATTTGTTATTTATTGTCGAATCCATTTTTGTGATACAACCCACTCTATCCTTCTATAGACATACATTTTCCATATAACTATATATACGAATGTACAGCTTAAGTAAATGATTTCGTCGAAAAGAAAATTTTCTTCGCTGAATTCTTATTTTTCTTATTCAATGACACTATGGGTTATTTTAATTTCTCTATTTATTAGAAGTAACATCTTAGCAAGTAGTGTTGAATCAGTTTGAATCTCAGCTTCACAAGTTATCCGATGATAAGTTCCGCATACTTATTTTCAGTTGAAATAACTTTGAAAAAAGAGTTTGACAGTATCCAGAAAGCTGAATTTACAGATTTTATAATGCACAATGAGCATTATATTTTAACTGTAAAAACTTATTCGCGCACTGTTGCTCATAGAGATCGATTTAAGATCGTTTTATCGTTTCAGTTTGTATAGTAAAATATCTAAAAACATTTTTATCTCACACCTTTAAGTTAACATGAACTTGAACAGAGAGTTATCCCTTAGAAATGATTTTGGATATACGTAGGCCTTAATTGGACTTCAGTATTCAAAACCACGAGGTTTTGTGAAAAGTTGGATCCCGGTTCAGTGGTTTGGAGGTTAAGAGTTCGCGCGCGACCAAGCATCCTGGGTTCGAGTTAAGTGTGCAGGATCATGAATACACACTGCTGTGGAGTCCCATACTACGACGATAGGTTTTCAATGGTTGTCTAACATTGATCTGTTCATGATCTCACTGAAAACTCAAATAATACTACTTAATAATCCCCATTAGATTCGTGAAATAATGAAGAACATTTGCATAACAGATGGATGTTTTTGGTGATGTTGTATTCCTTGAGCTAGGGAGTTTAATTGTGGAAATTTCATTGTCATTCTGAACAACATTGAGGTCTAATACTTCTGCGGAAAATGGACACAGATGCTGTTCAGAGCGACAAGCAACGTGCAGTGACTTAATCACTTAATATGTATTTCCCGCTTTATGTAATATAATCAAAAACAAAATAATCATTCCTGATTCCATTTTCGTGATTAAAATTATTTTATAATATAAATTATAATAACACTGAAGTTAATTTACTATAGTTAGACTGGTAAAATGCATAACATTCTGGAGGAAGAATATATTTTTAAAATATTTCCTTGAAAAAGCTTGGACCAGATTGCCAGGAGAAACGTTAGATTTACTTTAAATTCATTCGCTGAGATTATACAAATACATTCTTCCTCCTTAATGTCTCACATCAACTCGATGCCCAAATACTGTGATACATAACATTCTGCCTTGGTAAATGTAATTTTTTCAAGAATATAACTATAAAAGAATATTAAAAATCCATAAAGTGATTAATATGAAGCTTTTGTCAATATGATTTCCACAAGTTTATTTGATAATCTTATGCAATAAGTGAAAAGATTAGTTCTTTTCAATTTTACTGGTTGCGCTGAGCATCGAAAACATTTATTCTTCAACCGAACCAACATGGGGAAAAAAGTAATCTAAGGGTGATTTCAGGCTATGTCACGCTGGTTATCCAACCATAAGTCAAGATTAGCTTGTGGGTCTCAAATGATCTTCCATGTTCTGAAAAGCCAATACTTCCAGGCAATAAAATATACATGCATTGAAATCAAGTACGCCAATCGCAAACAAAATAATGGTTAGCCAGATGAACTTAAGCATTGTACTTCATAACAACAATAACCACGCCAGTTACAGGCTTTTGAAGACAAAGGATATCTGTTATTCTGGGAAATATAAATTGTGAGCTTTTTAACCATTGTTGACGTAAATAGTGATGTAATGGAAATCTTTCGAAGTTTTCTGTATTTATAATTGAGAAAGATAACATTCTACTTCACAAATTTAAAATAACGACATAAAAATAACTTTTCTCCGTGAAGTTAAGCAAATAATTTCTATCTACAGATCAACGTAACCAACTTGCGTCTATAGGACTAAGAAAAAACTCCAATTTACATTAAACATCGACGTAAAAATACCACTCAGATAATATATATACATAATCATACACTTTACAGACAATGGAAGTATAAGTTATAAAAGACGAATCCTAGAAACCTTGAGTTTGACCAAGTAAATTGAAGGAAATTATGATCTTTAATTAAATAATATGCTGATATAAACGAGTGGAATTTATTGTGGTAAACAAAATAGATTTACACAGTTTCTATGGGAATTGAAAACAGATATAGTTAATACCCTCGAGAACAACACATCCCACTAAACCACGTACCACCAGAAGACACAGTTGGGTCTATGAGTGAGAAGAATTAATATTGAGGATAAATACTACTTTATATACATAATTTTAAGCAAAAAAGATGATTAAATGGTTTGTGGCAAACAGTTATATTAGTATTATTAATGGCTTTGTTCAATATTATATTTTTGTACAATATAGAATGCTCTCTAATGCCCTGGTATGGCTGAGGGTAGGGAGAGTCAGCTCTCCCTATCGAAATGCTCTCACATGGTCACACGTATACAAAGACTGCCAGGAAATTCCCACTCACTGAATTCTCGCGACGAGGGTGTTGCTTACGAAATTGAAGGGACGAAAAGCGAATGTCCAGCGCTTCAACCGGGTCGGTAGACACGGAGAGTCCACCTAGGGGAGTTGGAAAACCTCGATTCCAAACCAATGGTTCAAATCGGCTCCAGGATCCTAAGGGAACAAATGACGTATGAACCAATTATTGGTCACCGGCTACCATGGGACTGCATCTCATGACGTTGCTCCACTACCATGTGGATCAGACCTTTAGGTCGAAGGCTTGGGGAGTGGCCACCTAAGAAAACCACCTGATTCGGTATGGGCACACGGGCAGTATTACAGCTCACACACAAGTCAAGTGACTTGTGTGGCGCCTATGTGTTCGGTGCCCTCTTGTACCAATATTTATGTGTTAAAATAAATAAATAATAACAATATAGAATTTTGAGAACAAAATATTTCAAAAAGTTTCCTTTCTTCATTTCTTGATCCATCCTGACGATAATGAGCGATCCCAAGTTAGATACTAGCAGTTCAGGAATTGACATCTGAATAATGTTCATTCTTTCAATGTATGTTCCCAGCCATCATGATGTCTCTGATTGTACGTTTTTGTAACTTGTACAGTGAAAGGTCGTAAACCTTTCGTAAACGCGCCTGAATGGGTTATGTGATTAATAGACATAAAGAGGAGTTAAAACAAATAAAAACAGATCACTTGTTGAAATATATAGATAGCAGGGACAGGTAGCCCAAATATTCGAGCAGGCCGTCAATGAATAGATTATTCAATAAGGCTTATTCTGACTTTGGAGCAGTGAAAACCATAATCTACGGTAAAAGAATTTCTTACACTACTAATTATTCAGAGAAAATTCTGATCCCTACAACAGCTGCTTTCTTACACTTGTTGTTTTATAAGCGTATAATGATGGAAATATTTGTCATCCAAAAGAAATTTCTTTTAAATAGAACAATACAGTACAAGGAAACTCCATTGCGTTATGGATAATCTGTGTCACATGTTTTCACCAATATTGTTACATGTGTAATAAATTGTTGAAAATAAGGACATTATATTTAACCAAAGTGAACTTGGAATATTTTGTGTTACAATAGTTTGTTAGTGGTCTAAATGAGAAGAGGATATGAATATTAACTCATTTTTAAAATAACAAACTATATACGCTTTATGTATATTATGGTTATCCATAATTTCAAGTAGGGTTTGAAGTTTAGTTGGATATTTCTATACCTATATCATAATCAATGAATGAAATTAACCCCATGTGTCTATTTAAAAAACTAATTATTTGCAAGTACCTTGAATGTTATTGTCAATGAAATGTCGAAAAAAGAAATATATTATGAATAGCATAAAAATAAACTGACTAATGAATATCATTGTTTAACCGTGAGTGCTCTGATTTCATACAGGAGATTAGTAACTAAAACTGATACCTTGATTCAAATTGTGATCTCTACGTTATGTCTTTTGCCTCTGCCAATTATCACGTGACAAGATCGTCAATCATAACACTGACTTATGTGACCATAACTCTGTGCCAATACAATGATGTGCTAACCAGCACGAACTAACCAGAGTCAACTCTGAATCCCTATGGGCTTTTCCGACCTTGCCTTAACCGCTGATTCCAGAACACAATCTCAGCTTCTACTATATGAATCATGTATTTCGGACATACACAGTTTATATACAAGCAGACTAGACCGCATCACATCAGTCAGTCAGCTACAAAGTACAACCAGGCACATATACGCATCGGTCCAAGATGCCATACCACATTAGCACAACAAGATGAACAACGAATTCATAGTAGTTAATTCAGTGGTGGTAATATATAAAAGAAAGATTGCATATAAGCCGTTTGTATATCTTTCCGAACAACATCTGGGTCAACCTCATTTTCATAACGACCTAAGTGTGACCTCGGTTCTTCCTGGGACCTACTTTGGTTTTCTCATTGCTCAGTTCACTTCTAATGGGACTTTTTAGTGTGGCTTTTTTGCGTCCAGTGAGGCGCAAGCAGATGTGTGCCATATTAGAACATGGCCGGAGTCCAACCGGGTATTCAAGAATGAGCGACAATCTTCTGTCGACCCTCTCCAACGATCACTGATGGCAATATGGTCTATTTGAGTCCATCACTGGTTTGGTGTAGGGGGTCGCCATGTTAGATGATGCCTCTTTATGCTTAAAATTACTGTTTGCTAAAAGTAAACGATTGTCTGAGCACAGTTGCAGCAGACGATCACTATTATCTGTTCGCTGAGGTGGGATACTAAAATACCCACCTAAATGTCTTTCTGCTTGGTTTAAGCTACCCATCTGGGGATAAAAGTCACCTGCTACGAGTACTATGTCTGAGCGTTTAGCTTTCTGAAGCTTTCTGTAAAAGTCATCTTTCACTCCGTCCGTGTCGCAGCCAGTGGGAGCGTAGGCAGAAACGACGAAAAGGCAACGACGTGTTTCCCTATCCTTCCGAGTTCTTATGGAGCCGCTTAATTGAACAACACATAGACGACGGTTAACGGGGATCCACTCTCATAGTGCTTGTTCCACCCTCGTGCTGAGTTCTATTTCTACACCTTCCAGTCCACACGAACTGACCATCGGGTCGCCAGATACACGGAGGGTGTATCTCGTCGGCTCTTCGTTTTGGCGAGGTGGGGTCAAGTGAAAGACCGCTCTAGGATCCAGTATACGTGTTTCGGAGACGCAGTATTCATCAATGGTACGAGATTCTAGTCTCAGCCTAAGAGGCTTGCAGACCGATTTGACATAGTGTGCGTAATTTGAGGGCTCCAATGTGTAGTTTGGAGCGCGGTTTCAGTAGACCTGGGACAGTGTTTTGAGCACTAGAATCATTGGCTATGATGATATTTGAGGAGGAAGTCAAAAGGGGAACTTTAGTGCTGAAGGTCGCCGTAGGAAAAATAATAGGAACTGAAGAAAGACGTTGATTAGGAATAAAGTAGTCTTGAGTGCGGTTATCATTTTACGGTTGCCCACACCGTGGAAGGGTTCTTCTGGAGGTACCTGGAAAGGAAATCGGATTAGAGGTGGTCTTGTGACCTGAGAGCGTGACCGCAGTGCCCAAGAGACAACTGCTTGAGGCCAGTCACACACAACCCCTTTGTGAGTAGTTTTTGTGTTAACTCCGTACTTGTTGGGACCTTACCGCCGGAGACGGATATCCGTGGGATAATGCGTTGTGCATTTTTAGGGCCGACCTTTTCTAACCCCACCCCTCCTTGTGGGAAGGCAGCATCGCTGTCACGCTGGTTGTCTGAAGAAAACACCTTACTGCTGTCACACCTCTGTACAGTTAGCAGTACGACTTCGCCTTCGGACCTTGGGTTTGTTGCTTTTAGTCTTACTGCTCTTTAACCGACCTGTCTGACATGGTAGGACCTTGAGGAACGGTTGTTCCAGCCATTATAGCTCGGTTGGTTCATCACGATAGGTAAGCCCGACCACCACGTCAAGGTAGCAACAACGGTCGGGGAATACGAATATACACACAATCTAGTTACTTTACAGTTATACAATAGGAATATATGTAATAACAGTTCATAGATAATCTCTAACAGTTACCATTCATTTTTTCTTCGTTCGGATATAATACTTTTAGCTAATTAATTTGGTTGTAGAGCTATCCTTGCTATTTTAAACAATGTACAGTCATAGGTTATTTCAATAATAAGCAAGCTTCTTGAGTTATTCCACAAGCGACACAAGTTTATTGTACATGTCGATTCAAATTAGTCACTTATGTTGCTCATAATAAGACAATAAAAGCTTGGTAATTTAAACTATTCAGTTAAAAATAACAATAACTATCGATTGGAACAATTCTGTCAAATTATGTTATCAGTAAATCACTCAAATCCATCTTTCCTTAACAAAATACCTAGTTAAATGCAGCCACTCACCGTACTTTAACTGTGATTGAACCACTGTTGTTACGATTTGACGACTGACGAGTTGAATATCGAGAAAAACGTGGTGGAACAGTTGGAGATACAATAGTAGATGGAGTACACTTTGTGTAGGTATCAGGTTGAGTTCTTGAATCATTATTACCCGAATATATAGGAGACATATTTCCACTTTTTTTATTCTTAGTGTTTGAGCATAACGAATTAGTATTATTAAAGTTGTCAGGACTAGATGAATAGGTTAATGTAGATCCAGGCAATTGATCTTGAATATTTGTCATGGATGATGTACATGAAACAGAACCACGATCCAAATCATGTATATCAGTTGGAGTACTTGCCGCACGATTGAAGGTACGATTCAAATTACTATTACTGTTTGTTAATTTTATATTACTGCGTTTTTGGGAATCTGATACACGCTGTTGCATTGGACGTCTCATTGCTTTTATTCTATTCAACTGATCACCTTGACTAATACGTGATTTTGAATTTAATTTAGCTGGTATTTAAAAAAATTAAATATTGTTTAAGGGTATCAGAAATTGACAAACTGTTGGGTGAAACTTAATGGTTCTAACAACTTTGTTAGTGTTTATTAATTCTAGTTCCACGACTAAGTATTAACCAAAGTATTGATAAAATGTTAGATAACTCAATAAGATATCGTTGATAGAACATGTTTTTAAATATAGTAACAGAACTAATCAGTTACAATATTAGATCGTTTATCAGTCATTCAGTTTTAACAGAAAAGAAAAATGTGGTGAACTAAATGTGGCTATAAACTATCTAAGTTTTATTAAATAATATTTTGTTTTGCATTTGAATAGGATTTAATGTAGTACAATAAAAAAGATATTTAGCGACGAATTCAACGGTTATCTATAAAACTTCAGTTATTTGTGCTGATTACACAATAGGGAATTGAGACCAGATTTATTACAATTATCTGATTGTACATGATGTGAGTGATCAAAATAATGCAGAATCCAGAAAAAATAGAATGTTGGTAAGTCTGTTTACTCCTCAAAATGTCAGTTATTCTGAGAGAACCGGGTACTAAGTAGTTACATAAATCTAACTTCAATACTTATCTTCTAAGATCCACTCGTTCGTCAGAATCGCTACGAAAATCCAGAAGTTTCGCCTGGCTTCAATCTTCGCTCGCTTAGTTTATCATCTTTCAGGCCAAATAGATGATCATACTCTGCCTCAAAATAAGGTCACGTGTCCATGTCATGGGACGGGTAGGAGATTTTCTGTCTGCAGCTTAAATGAAATGCGAGTAAGACGACAGGATGAAATATAACTTCGGCGACAAGCCAAACCTTTACGACCACTTCGCCTTTGGGTTTCATACAAACCCGATGACTTGCACATATGTTAAACTCCCTGATCAACGTCTTAAGATGAGTCAGGTGAATCGTCTAATACTGAATTAGTGAAATAAAAAGAAAGCATGAAAAATTAAGTCCGACGAGGTAAACAAAACTAGACTTGTAAAACGTTCAATTTCGACAGTATGAATAGCAAAAACAAAATAAAATTTTGATAAAAGTCCCAGTAGATAGTTCAGGACTATCACTCAAAGACATGAACGATCGAAGGGACATTGTGAACAATAGAGTTTCGAAGTCAATGTCATAGATTTTAAATAGCAATAAAACGACATGATATCATCATTAAAGAGATTTGAACTATTTCGTTACTGATACTTTTAACTGAGCTTTGGTTAATCTTAATTAGTATAAATGCAGCATGTTCGAATTATCTAGACATGGTTATTGATTCGTACAAGTATTGACTTTATGTTCTAAATGCATAATGATCCGATATACACATATATATGGGGACCATAGACACAAGAAGATAGTTTCTAAGCCATATATGCATGGTTCAAAATTAGTGTCAGTGACCGAGGTATAATCAGCCTCTGTACTGTTCCAAAGTTTAGTCTAGACGATAGTTATATTAAATCCCAAGTTTCGTGATAGTTAGCACTTGTCAGCAGAGTGTACCTGGAACATTGAGAGAATTAGTGTTCTCTGTGGTATTGAAACTTGAGCCACCCAGCTCCACAGTCTGCGACATTAACACTGAACAGTTTGAACCACAACTGACATTCTACGTGAATCGAACGTTTACAACTGGTTGATCACTGAGTAGTGAGCTTATTAGTATTTATCTAGTCCCTTGGTAATCATCGAATCCTGTCAATCAGGTTGAAATGTCGTCCCAACCTTGTAAATCTTTTAGTCCCATAGGAGGTCAATCATGACATTAACAGCTCAGTGGTACTATCTCTGTCTACGAAGATGGGTGACGCAAATTTAGATACTCCAGAGATTATCAGCTTCCTAAGGATTTCAGATACACTCTGCTGACGAATGTCAACTAGAAAAAAGCAAAAATTCAGATTTTCCTAAGACTACCACCAACGATCAAATACAGAATAGGCTAACCCTGCTAAGCAATTTCCCCTTACTTTGTTGTTTCCTTGTATTGTGCAATACTTCAATCATTTATTTGGCCGGTTGATCAAATTGAAATCATGCTACAAATATTTACGATTCTGATAATGAACAAGTACAATATATGGATATGACCGACGTAGATTTTCATATTGACTCTTGCTTTTAATCTTCAACTCAAAGACGACATTAAGATCTAATCATTCGCTCCTGAACAACCTAAGATCGAGGTATTATACTCATCAACACAACATACCGAAACGCCACAGAAAATATTGAAATCAGCAAGGGAAATTAAATTAGAAAGATATAAATAAAAGTGTAGGATAAAAGATACATATACTCCTCAACGACAGATTTTGCGATAATTGACAGCGGATCTTCAACCATAGATTATGATCACATATCTTGGAGATCTCGATTAATAGGTCCACATCTCCCTTGATGTAATTCACAACTTGACCATCATTATTGTCCACATCCAATTAAGAGATGGCTTTGTGGTCAAAACGTGCGACTTTCAGCCATTAAGTGCCGAGTTCGAACCATGCTCCAACTATTTCTTTATAGGCGGCTCGGTGGCATCAGTAGCCCTCAGACTTGAAATGTGATTCATACAAATGTCTGGTGAATTAATTAATTATATAATTTTGTTTGCCATAAATATATGCCCATATCATTCCACATGAAGTTAAACATATTTTCTTTGACGCAAATGTGCTTCATTGGCCGAATGAGAAATCAACTGAATGATAATTGTACCATATTAAGCAGTAAATGGTTTGAATTTCTAAGGAATCAATGGCTTAATTTTCTAAATTACAGAAACTTATATGTATGCATGAATGAGTTTACATACATGCCAATTCGACTATTCAACTAGGGCTTCTTTTCCACTCTTATTCTACTTATTCATATGGCCGGTTTAGCTCGAACTTAAGCAGCTTATGTATCCTTATCAAAATCGAACACTATACAAAACAATATCTTTCATAATGATAAAATTCGAAATAGATATAAAAATAAAACAACAGTGCTTGTTTACGCGTTGAAATACAATTGGAATTGTACAGAACAATCGAAAAGAAAGTTAATAAAACTTACATAATTTCTTTGATTTTTGTACATTAATTAAGTTTGGATTAATAATCACTTCGCGATCAAAACATTTCGATGAAATATCTGAATTGGTTTTTGATAAAGATTTATTGTTTTTTAATTTTGATGCATTTTTTGATTGGTCATTAGATAATTGTGATAAATTAATATTTTTAACAGTTATATTGTAACATCGTGGAGAATTAGTGAGAGTCTCGGTGATAGATGCACTACTACTACTATTACTACTAATACTAAGACTGTTACTATTACTATCACTAATACCACTATTATCATTATTACTATCATTACTACTGCCAGTATTATCAGTACTAATTCCAAGAGAACAGATACTATTATTATTAATGTTATTAGTAGTAGTGGTTGTTATTGTTGTTGTTTTTCTTGCATTGCCGATATTCGATTTGACGTTTTTATTCATATTCATATTATTATTATTATTGTTATTACTCAAACATCTTTTATGTTGGTTTTGAACAAGACTGTTTGAAAACAAAATTTCGGGAGATAAAATAGGTGGAATAGTGCAAACATTTTTAATGCCAAGATCATTTGAATTATAATTTGACCTATATGATGGGGGAAGGAGAAAAATGGGACAAAGAAAAAACAAACATTTTATAGAAAAAGAATCTAGTTTTGTGTTGAATAATCATATTTGATAAACGAATTAAAATATCTCGAATTAATTAAAAATAATAATCAGTAATTTCATGGTTAATTTTTATTATATATAATCAGCATCTATCATTTTAAGCATTAATGTTATGTTCTTTGATCAGTATACTGTAGATGTGTTGGTAATGAGTTATATAATTGATGTCAAGTAGTTTGAGGTACTTAGTAGGTAACCCTGGATCTAGGTTTCTTATTAGTTGTTACTCACAAGCAAATTATTCATGTGGAATTGAAATACTATAAGAGACAAATCCGAATCAGAATAACTCAGTGGTAACATCTCATACTGTGAAGCTAGGTGACCCGTGTTTGAATCCCACAGGGAGCACCAACTCCCTCATGATTCGAAGTACCTCTTGCTGAGAAACGTCATTACTGTCGACTCATTCAAAATAAAATGAAAATATAGTGCGTAAGATTTCAAGTCACTTAGTCTAGTGGTCACAATGCAATTCAAACGATAGAACTCAATCAGTACAAAGGATTAGATTAACATTAGACTGACCACTACTCAGTGACCAACTAACGAGTTATGAAAGTTTGAATTCATGACAATATAATTTTCGTTTTAGCAAATATAACTAACAAAAAATTTAACAGATCTAACAAAAAGTATTTATTAATTTCCAATAAGTTGGTTTAAATAGTTGATAAACTTCAGTTAATGAGAACCATGAAACGGAGTAATGGAGGGGGTGACGTTTATTATAGAATGAATTAATTGTTTAATACGTTTTTCTAACTGAACCATCATGATATAACTTAACAAAAGAATTAGAAGAAAAATTTGAAAAAAATGTTAAACATGAAAAGTATGTAAACGAAAATCAAACTTACAAAAATACAGTAATTCATACATTTGTATAGGAAAATACATACAATTAGATTTAAATGTAACATTCCATTATACACTGATGTTAATTGAAGAATTAATAAAAAAATGATGCAGAAAAATAACATTCATCTGCTTTCACATAGAAATTCAAGATTAGATGAATACGGTTTGAGCTGTAGATATAGGATTATAACAATATCTTACTTCAAGATTATTGTGATGTATAGGAAAGGAAAGGCTTGGTTGACTGGGCATGAACATTAGTCATAATCAAAGAACACCTTCGCAAAATTGTTCGTTATCTTAAGTTTTCAAACTATATTAGCGCAGCAAGATTAATAACAGAGGAATCAAATCAATGGTAATACGGATGATAATGAGAAAGACTAAATATTGAGAATATTTTTCAAGAAGATGGGACGAAAAAGTATGTATAAGGGAATAATGGGTCTCAACATCCAGAGTAAGATGAAGAGGTAATGAATCTACATCGCTGTGATTGATTCTAAGACATATCATTCGACATTTCCAACGACTACTGGTAGCGGTTATCATGTGCACTCAGGCCAAGTACTCTGCATCAATACGACTCAGACAAACAGTGAATAACTTTATGAATGGACACCACAGTTTGCCCGTCCATAACATTTTTTAACCTACTTCCGCACCAACCAATATATTCTGTAGAGGCAGTCGATGTTCGGGCATATCTGACACACATCCTAACTAACTCAGTTAATAAAAATTCATAATCTCGGAACGATATTGAAATCTTTCGATTGAGATCATGAACCGAATGATGTTAGACCACCGTTGGAAACCTGAAAGCACTGAACAGTCGTTTCGTCCTATTTCTGGACTCCTCAGCAGTGCACATCCACGATACCGCCCGCGGGATTCGAAACCAGGGTCTTCAGTCTCGCGCGCGAAAACAACCTACTGGACCACTGAGCCGGCCGTCTAGTGCTTCCAGGTTTCTAACGGTGGTCTAACATCAATCAATTCGTGATCTCAATCAGAAACTTTATGATCTCCACAACCCCTATACTGATGATTAACATGTGTGCTCACTAGTGACTAGTTTCGAGAGGAAATTCTCAGAGTTCCAGTGAGAAGCCGCGACCAGTGGAGTTAATCCGTGTCGGGTAGAGACAAGTATCTACCTCAGTAACGTCGTGGATTTGGTTTATGTTAGACACTAACACCGTTGGATGCCGGCTCAGCAGTCCAGTAGGTTGAGTGTTTGCGCGCGAGACTGAAGACCCTGGTTTCGAATCCCGCGAGCGGGACCGTGGGTGCGCACTCCTGAGAAGTCCCACAATAGAATGAAACGACCGTCCAGTGCTTCCAATTTTTCATAGTGGTTCAGCTTTATTTGACTCATGATCTCAACTATTGAAAAATATTAAATATTTGTCAGGTTGTTGAAATAACATCTAGATAAAAGTATTTGAAATAAACCGTCAACCATCCAGTCATAAACAATGTTAGAACCTGATAAAAATGAATATCGGCTCAAGTTGATGCATAAGTGACCAATCTTATTGACTGTGGACGGTTATTAACTGTATTTCATTCTCTTACCTTCACCCTTCTGTGTCAATCAGTTTGTAATTGACTCAAATAAATGCAGTTCTTATTCATATGATATGTTCCAGATCACTTATTATTCGTCAGTTTGAATCTTTAGTAATTCAGTTGTATCTCTGATATTCTATTATATTGTGTTCTAACTTTCACTTCCAGTCTGCAAATTGTATCAATACAGTCTGCGTTATCCATACCTCAATTCCAGTTACTTAGTTTTAGTCACATAAGTCAATCAGTCGCAACGTAGAACCTTATAAGTGTGTACATTGGTTCAAGTTCATATATCCTATCAGCACAACACGATGAAATTATCAGGCCAAATCCCGGAATAACGTAGGTAGTAACAGTATCAGTGATAATAAAAAAGATTACTCATCGAAGATACGATTCGAGAAGAAAATCTAAATTGGTGAATTGAAAAAAGATTATGAGGCATTCCGAAGAGTAGAATCTGGGGGAAGACAAAGAACGGATGCACTTGTATTTCAAAGTCTATAACCACTGGTTACGATAATCATGTAGGCCTCAATCAATTATTCTACACCTGTTAAAATGGCTCAATCGAACTGGCAGTGACCCCATGGAGTGATGCGACGTTTTGGTTCGACCGCCCCTCGGATTCTTCCAGCCCACTCCTAAACCAGACAACACCCGTCGAGGTAGGCAGTGACGGGGTACAGGTAACACATGTCCCAACCACCTCAGTTGATGGAAATTCACTACCCCATCAAACGATTTCTCATCACTACGTATTACTCTGTGCCTCTAAGACACCCAAACAAATGTGATTGAATACTAGTAATTTGTGAATATTCTCTATCCCTAATGGCTATACTTCACATTCATAAAGTAGAACGGAACGAACTGCTGCACGGCAACCTCGCCCTTTGGTGAGAAGACAAATGTCTTGCCTATGCCACAAGTGATGCAAGTTGGTAAATGCCATCCGACCGTTTTGAATACGTGACGAGATTACATTAGATACCAGACCAACAAGACTGATGTGACCTCCAAGATAAGTGAATCGGTCGGTGTCTTCAACTACTTCACTTCCTATCATTAATTCGGGTGATGATGAAAGCCATTCCTGAATTAAAAGTTTACATTTGGAATGAGGAAGAAATGCACCTCAAACATACTTGAATTCTTGTTTAAGGTGGTCAAAAAACTAAATTTTGTCAGCGCCTTCACAAAACAAAACTATATCATCTGCATATTCTAAGTCAACAACTGAATCTCCTGGTAAAAATCAATACCTGAAAAGTCAGATGATAAAAGTATTATCTCTAAAACGTTTATATGACAAAGTTAAATCAAAATGAGGAAAGCAGATAGCCCTGAAGTAATCAATTCCGATGACAGTTCACCATAAGCTCTGACTCGACCAGTAGTGTTCGAGTAGAGGACCTGTACAACGTTAATTTACTCCTTTGATACGTCCTTCATTGACAGATACTGTCACAGAACCTCACAGTCAACAGAATGAAAGGCTGCTTTAGTGTCAAGGAACACAATTATAGTCGGACGTTAAAAAGTGTATCTATGTCCCATAGCCTGCCGAAGGGTGAATAATTGGTCTATACGTCTGCGTTCGGTCTGAAATCAGCCAAGTTTTCTTGGGTTTGCTCTTCACGTGCTCTAGTTCGACGTCAAAGTATCATTAAAGCTAATATTCAAGACACTATTTTAGTTAAACTGATTCCTCTGTGATTGTCACAAAAGGGTTTTTATCCCTTCTCATAGACTGGGACGATCAGAGATAGAGACCAGTCAGACGGGATTACGTCCAGTTCCCACATTCTGGCTAAGATTTCAGTTAATCTAACCGCTGAAACTGGACTACCACCCTTAAAAACGCAGGAGTTAGTCCATGATGCTCTGCTACTATCCCTCACTTTAGATTACTTTTAGCCTTTTTAACCTCACTCCACAACCCCGTACTGATAGCAGGAGGAAAATTGAAAAGTGTTGTTGTTTTTGAGTAAGTCGTAAACAAATATTCTGAATATTCGTTTGATAGTATCCGTATACAGACGATTATCAGAAGAATATACCTATGTGCATTAGGTGGCATCCATGATAGAACATCATTTAAGAAACACCATAAGCTAAATACTAATTTAAGGTAAGAAGATTGAGTGATAAAACGTTCTAATATGTTAATTAAATATATAATTATGTTACCTATTTAAATCTATTGCTGATGAATCTGAATCTTTATGTAACTATATAATGTAATTTGTATTATTATGGAATTTCATCAATGCTAAGTATTGAAAAAACATGACATTTGTTAGGATTCAGGAATCAGCTCAACGAGACGTTAGTCTCTACACAAACAGAACTGTGATAAGCGTCTACGACGGTGAAAAACATGTGTTTTGAAACCAAACCTAAAGCATCAGTTTCCTCATGATTACAGATCTGCTTTGCTAAGCATTGTTAAGCAGCACCAAACCTAGGTTCGTAGATTCATGGCAATACCGTACGACTAATTAGCCCACATAATTTTCCTAAACATAGATTGCAGTGAATTAATTCAATTCGGATCAATGAAGTATTATCCGATACATACATTAATTTCGTCCTTTGATGTGATTTGCAACTTAAATGGTTACTTTAGGTGGTGTTGCGTTCTCTGAGCTAGATATCGTAGTTGTTGAAATATCATTGTTTTTCTGAACTTTATCAGCCCCTCATTCATGCGTTTTCCAGAACGATAATGAAAGCTTCTCAATCAAACTGCGAGCATCAGATAACCTAATACAATCAAAATCAATATTTCCTGTTTCAATACTAAATGAACTCATATAAAATAGACAGAATATCGCTAGCAGTGGAATTCACAGTGTGTGCTTTGCCCTTTTTGAGACTCATCAGCTGGATTTGCCCACATCCTAAAGTTCATGGTAAATCCAGGACTCAATTCAGAATCCTTCTCTATAAACGTCAGCCCGTTATCCGTTTAGCCACTCATTTCCACCAGAGTAAACGTTAACTTTAAGATAGAAATACATCCAGACGATGAGTCCCAAGTAGGACGACACGTGCGTCCTAAATTATACTGCTAGACATATTCTATTTATTTTACGTAAACCTACCTCACAGTGTTTATATACAGGCAATCACAACAGAATGAACATATGTCAAAATTAACCAAATTTAAGTCAAAATAACAACAACGGGATAATTTAAAACATGAATTAAATAAATAAATTATCGTGTATTAAAAAAATGCTTACCTAACCAATGGTACTGGAGTAACAGATTTACAGATTCTACCATTCTTAACTAATAATCCATTTTCTGAAGATCTATACGTTAATAAATCATTTTTCTTTACAGTATTTTGTAATTTTACTGTTTCTGCTACGTTGAAATCTTCATCACTACTCATGGATGATTCTGCTAAATGTGTTGTTGTTAATTGACGCTGATTTTCTCTGTAAATTTCACCAAATTGCCAACAAATTGGTTGTTTTAAATCTAACCAATGTTGTTGTGGTCCAATAATCGAACCAGGACGACAGATACGAATCCAACCTATCACTTCCCGTGAAGTAAGTTTATAATGTTTCATTAAATAACATCCAATCAGTGTACCAGTACGACCTAAACCAGCTGAATTTTTTTTAATATTTAAAATAAAAGATAAAAGAATCGAAACGTTGAAATGCACATCTATGCTAGACTTTACGTTACTTATGACTTACTGATTAACTAAACAAAGTGAAACAAATCAAATAACCTATTAGGTACTGAAAAGTTAAATAGCAACACAGATTTATTGTCTATTAACGTTTTTGTCAGTTAATACTGTCTAGGTTGAGGTTGTCCATGAAATAAGAAGTTATCAGTTATTTGAATGATCGTTGAAAAAAAAAAGGATTTTAAGTGGGAAAAACTTTCTAATATCAATTTGGAAATTACTTCCAATGTACCGTATTATGTGGACAATAAGATCTTTAAATACAATTTAATGTACTAAACATCATTGTATATAATGAATAATGTTTCTTCAATCTGTGTTATTGATATATCTGTAGGTATAATCCACCTGAGCTTCAAATCTTCTCCACTACCTCATAAGTGAATAATTACGATTTTATTATAATTAAACATGAGTCCGATACATTTACAGTAACAGTGACTAGTTTGACGACACTTGGAACAATGATACAACAAACTGTTCATATAACCCCGTTTACTTGAAAATTTGTTTAACAATGACCACAAGAAGATTTCAAATAACATTCGAGAGCAATCCGTTATAAAACGATAAAAATTCAGTGGATTTTGATTATCACACTGATCAAATATTATCTCAAAAGCAAACAGTAACCCTTTTGTGATGCCAGCTCAGTGGTCTAGATGTTAGGCGTTCGCGCACAAGACCGACGGTTCTGGGTTCGAGTCCAGCGTGCGGCATAGTGGACGGGCACTGTCGAGGCGTCGCATACTAAGAGGAAACGGCCGTCCAGTTCTTCCAAGTTTCAATGATAGTGTAGCTTAGATTGATTCATGATTTCAACCATTAAAATTACTACAATCTACAAAAGTCCCCATTCTGATAAAACAATAAAGTTAAATCGAAAATCGAAGTTAAGGAAGTTCACATTCAATAATTACGAAAGTTAACCGAATGAAATCATGTCTAATAAATACAAGATATTTTTCTTGATTTCTTGGATGGAATTATATTTAGTGATTGAATCTCGGCAACAGAGTTTTAATAATTTACTATTTATAAACATTTTACATGATTGAAATAAATTCATTATCTCTATCAAGTATTTGTATATGACCATGTCAACAAAAAAAGTAAAATACCAAATCACTATTTAACAAGATACATTCCATAAAATAGCAATCAGCTTGATAGAAAAATTAATTGACCAAGTGACATTAAAAAGCGTGGAATAAATTCACCTGTAATTAATTATTACCTCATCTTCTTGTATGATAATATAAATTATTTTCAAATAAAACAATATGTACAAAAATCAAATCAAAGAATTTAGTGAGCAGAGATGAATGGTGGCTAGCAGTGAAATTCAAAACATGCGTTTCATCCTATTTCAGACTCATCAGCTGGATGTACCTGCATCACAGAATGAACAAAACTATATTAAAGGCACTACATTAGGTACAATATTAATTTACATAAATGCAGTAATTTGTTGAGTAACAGCATCCAATATAATGTATGTAGAAGTATAAATAATATAGAAGCAAAAAATCTTAGCAAACTGGTCTAATAATTAGCCTAATTAACTTAAATAATTTAAGGATTAAACATTCAAATACTGTACATCTGATTACGATCAGTTCTTGCAGTATAGGCCAAATAATGACTAAGGAGGTATATATATATATATATATATATATATATATATATATATATATACAATGATGAAGAATAAATAATTCAGTACAGACCAAATGTTACAATGTTTTGCATAGTCAAGCTTTAAAAAACAAACAGATTTCGATAAGACAAAAACTAACCTTTACAATGTACAGCAATTGCTCCCGTAACATTTTCGCATATTTCTAAAAATCGATTCATTATATGATCAGATGGACAACTCCCATCAGTAAAAAATAAATCATAATGAGCGAAGCCAGCATTGGTGAAACGTTTAGCATCGTAAACTTTTTTATTCAACCTAATTATAGTGGTTACATTTCTTTTACGGAAATATGGAAAGTAAGCTTCTGGTGAATGTAGAGGATAACCTATATAAGTGAAATAAAAACAAACAAACGAATAGATTAAACTCAATCAAATGTTAATTAATGAAGAGATTGTAAGAACATTGAAATATTACTGAAGTCTACGCAAACTAGTCGGTAATACTGAAAGTATTTCAGCCTAGGAAAACTAATCACTGAACGTTGAGTTACTTTTCATAACTGGTCGAGGTCAACGGTGGTCCAACACTGATTAATCAATCGACCGCTTGGAACTGGTACTTGGGGCATCTTGGTAACCTCTTATCCATGTTACAGTTTTATCACCTTCCGCATTGTAAGATTTTATTTGTTCTCCAAGTGTACTAACAACGTCCAATAGCCAGGTTGGGAAAGGAAAAACTTATGAAGCATCAGATGAACTAGCTTTAACGTAAGACTATGTGATAGAAGCTGCTATACAATTTCTGTTAACTTAAATGGGTTGAAACTATTGGTAAAACAAAATAAGTGAGTTCATTCCGTCAAATGTAGTGTAAATCAACAGAAAATAAAACGTCAATAAACATAATCAATTTAAGCTTAGAAGCACATTTACGCAATGAAGCAAAGGAATTTCAGAGAACGCTTTCAATAGTAGGTTTAAATGAAAGAGTGTATTTCGAGCGGATAATAAAATGATTAAGATTTAAATAAAATCTTGACAACAAATAAATTAATATATTTCACAAACCTTGTTGAATTGTGTTTTCATTTAGGCAACAGCAGACTCTAATTTTAATATATGAACAACGTTTTAATAATTCTGACACAACCGCTTAAGAAATCCCACACACAATAACAAGTAAAATACTTTTTTTGGTATTCTCTTAATTTAAAACCATAAGCATAGTAATACTGATGTGAACGAAAACTTAGGTGGGTAAAACCAATTTATTGTCTAATGCCAAATTACAGTGCCTTCGTAAAATATGAAAAGCATACATTAAATACATTATTTGCACATTTTCCTTCAGTTGTCCTTTACATACTTTATGATTCTTTCGACTCTGTTTTTATTACTTTTTCTCGGTTTCTCTTCCTATTCTCTTCAATTCAATCTTTTGCTGTCCACTTCAGATTACTGCTACATACTACTTATATCTGTCAGCATAAATAGCATTCATTACAATGCCACAATATAATCGATTTCTAGTTAACTAACCACCGGTGGTAGTAAAGTGGTCTAAGAAGAAAATACTGCATAAATTTTAAATAAAACATGCAAGTTTACACTTGATACTTTTGAAAAAATCAATTAGTTACATACATGTCACCATACGTAAACTTTTAAAACTTTGCACTGTAATAGTATTGATGATTTTATCTGACATGTACGTTTATTAAAACATTTACTCCGAATAAATCTATAAGCTTGGAAACAGTAAAAAGGACTACTTTCATTATGTTACCCTCCATGAAATCTCATAATGATGCCTATCTGGATTCATAATTTCGAAATTGGAGCTTCAACATAAACAGATCGGACTAATATTCTTTTTTAAATGGTATTAATAACAGTACTGGTCTGCACATAATGAATGTAGCCTATAAATTAATAACATGCTGGCAGAAGATAATGATTTATTTCTAAATAAATATGGTAGCTACATGGAAGAAAATTTTTCTTGGCCCACAGACTACAAATTCTTATTTCAATTAAGTGTTTCATAATAATATTCAATCACTTACAATGTAATAAGAAAAACAAATCTTTATACAGTTCTTATTAAAGATTGATCTCAGACAAATCAGTGAAGGCTAGAAGACACTAGATAGCTATTTCATCCTAGTACTGAACCATTTGGAAGTGGGTTACCATTGAGGGTCAAACTTAAGACCATCGGTATCATGACGAGCACTTAACCTATAGACCTGTGAGTCGGTATCTAGTGAATAGTGACCGCTAAGGGGTTCCATACGAAATAACTTTCTAGTGCTTCCTAGTTTTCAGTGGTTTTCTAAGATAAGTCTATTAGGTACCTTATAAAAATTCAACTATTTACTTAAACCCTAGAGTTTTAAAGTCTAAAATCAACATACCATTTTCTATCTTCGTTTGTGAATGTGGTCCACAAAACGCAAGGAATTTATTCGGTATTATCCAAGAGAGATCACCATTTTCTACTTTCTGTAAAATTATTTTAAAAAATGAAAGATTTGTAGAGATGATAAAACAGAAAAACAAATATTCGACTTACCTCAAAATGTTCATATTCTTGCAAATCAAATGTATCAAAGTCGAGAAATTTATTAAGTAAAGCCTAAAATAAAAAACCAAAAGAAATCAGTTTCCAAAAAACGATAAATTTCATGTATTATTGTTAAATACTGAATTTTGTTGTTGGAATGACATAATCATAATAAACGATTAACAATTCTTGTCAGTTAAATCTGTCCAGGCTGAGGTTGTTCGTAACCTTTTCAATATCCAACAAGTTTTTTATATCTAGCCCTATCGGACGCTTATATTTATTTGATGACATAAATATTTTACGTTATACCCCAATTTCCACCAGAAATTTCATTTCGAGACTTCACTTTCACTGTATTGTCACTGTTTTGTAATGCAGAATGTAAGGGTTGCACCATAATACACGAACATGATCATAACAGATAGTTATATATAATTTCAGATGTTTGAAATGAAAACTTTGATGCAAGTCACCCTTCGATATACAACATTCATTCATTAAATGAAAAGAAATATGACCGAAAGCTATTGATAAAATATCCTTATTTAAAATTAGAAATGTTGTGGATAAATTTAGCAACATAGAACAGCAACTCTTGGGGCTGATATTCAGTCGCAATTTTTCGTTCAGCATCAATCATAAACAAAAAAACTCCACTGGTAAACGTTTGGACAAGGTAATGGATAACTTGAATCAATGGCTCAGTGGATAACGGATTGTAGCTTTAAGTAATAGGAATTAGATTTGAATATCAGTATGAACGTCAATACACTATGGTGGAGGTATGTCCCAGCTGACGAGCTTCATATTGTACAAAACTCGAGTTTGGATTCCACTGTTAGCCATAACCACAATATATAAATAAACAGTAATTAACTCAAATACTTTAGTAAAACTGATTGATAAGTTAAGAAAATGACTAGTTGTTAATATTATGTAGTTCATTCCTCAGTTCTAATCAAACCCTATCGATAGTTCAAATTAAGACTCGCGTTTCGTCTCGTTTAGGAGTTATCAGCTAGATGTACTAGTTTTCTTATTGGGATTCAAACGCAGTACCTCTTGGTTCAAACGCTAACACCTTATCTATTGAGCTTCTGGATAATTTAAACCGTTGCTATTGATGATATGAACTTAGGCAATGATCATAATTAATTCTATATTAAATTTAATTGATAGATACATGAATTAATAGAAAAAAACAAAACCATAGTGGATGTTTTATGAGGAAACTTTTAGTCGAGACTTGGAACAGATTGAATTCCTGTTATATCTAGAGCTTAGATTCTTACTATAGCGCATACTACTTGAGCGCTTGAACGCTAGAACTCTCCAAGTCGCAAGTTACAAGACAGAAGACGAGTGAGAAGGGATGTTATCCCAAACAATGTCAAATATGGTACAAAACTACCAGGTATTTGTAGTCTTTATTGAAAATGAAATCATCATTACAGTCATCCAATTCTCATACAGCGGTTTTTAGCATTTGTCCAACAGGGAAGCTACAAGTCGAGATTCTGGGGTGTTCTTCCAAAATATGATTGAATGGAATGTCTGGCGATTTTTAAGCAGCTTAGATCTTCCCTGGGTTCACTCGTGGGCCGTCCTCACACTTCCATCCTTTGAATACTAAACACGGTGGATTGTGATCTTGAGTTTCTGAGACTAGTTATAGTAGCTAACATTCGGCATGGTCGATAAAGCTCGTTCAGTACTCAACACTAGACTACGGCAGTTGGAAGCGGACTAGTTTAACAACAAGCATATCTATGTGTGAGGGTGGAACCAATAACTTTTTCCCTACTCGCTTCAACCTTTTGGCCCATTTTTTTTGGTTCTAAGGTAAATAAAGTATACACATTTTTATATCTGAATGAACAAAACAAAAATTTGATTTGCAGATTAATTGTTTCCAAGGTTCTAAAACTACTAGGTATTAGATTTATTTGTAAGCATTTGTGTTTTCTGGTCGTCGGTGTTAAGGTCTGCAATCGATCAGTGTTTATTAGAAGACATGCATCCTAAGTGGACCACTTTCATACTACCATTTTGTCATATGTTTCTGCGAAAGTTGGAATTCAGGAAGAATGTTTTATCCTATTTGGGACTGAATCTACCAGCATCTCAGTGTCAATCTTTACACTAGGATGACATTATGACATCAAATAATAAAATAACACAAGGAGGAATAATTATGAAAACATATGATGATAAAATTTTCATCTCTACTATTACCAAGTTTCGACAAGCCCGATACACTACGGAGTCGTCCATCTCTTTTTTTCTTAAACTTTGAGCGTAAATAGCACAAAACTAAAAGGGTCACAAATCTATTTTCAAACTTCATTCACTACATATATATGATCATACGCGTGATATGTTGTTGTCAATCTCTAAAGAGGTACACCCACAAAAATATACGCTAACAAAGTGCCTTTAGAAATAAAATTTAATGGCATATATATGTTCAACTGATGGTTAGAAAAAGAAATTTTTATTGTGTAAGAGACAGAATAATAATTAACATTTAGATGACATTTATTAAGGAAGATGGACATTTACCTGTTAATATACACTCGTATAAACTTCAAAACTAATAAAGTTCACTATGTAGGAATGTGTACTGTAAGTCATAAACTGTTATAAAGCTTTGATTGACTGGTTAACAATGGAATTAATGAAGTAGTTGAGTTAATCACTGGCTTCAAATTCCAATGCAACAGATTTCAGACAGTAAAAATTATAACCTCACTAAGTATGAGAATAATTTAGTACGTTTAAGCATATATACAGACGTGGCAATGAAAGTTCTGTTTTGTAGTTCACATCACGGACTGACTATAACAAGACAACCACTGAAAAACAGGAAGCATTGGGCAATGGTTTTGTTTTAGTGTGGGACTCTTCAGGAGTAAGCATTCACAAACACATGTAAGCTTACAATATTGTAAGTATACAGTTGAGAAGTTGATTGAATTTCATTAAAATCCTAAACTGATCTACGTTATACCATCATTGAAAATATCGAACGGCCGTTTTACCCTAGTATGAAACTTCTCAGCAGAGCATACACGACCACGTAGGCAGAAATCAAACCCAGGACCCTCGGTTTCGAACGCCAACAATCAAGACAGTTTATGAGTCAGCAGTGACAGCAACATAAACTATACAACTAAACTTAATAATGGAAAAGTACAAATTGATAGTGTGATGACAGATGTACTAGTTGTGATAAGAATAATAAAGGCTTGGACTAGTGTCTGATAATAGGAAGTATATCAGAAACTTGGAAAAATAAACATTAAAACAACATTTGTTAAAAACCATTCAAGTTACACAATAAGTGTTCATATGAATAAACTGTGAAGAATATAAACGAAAAACAGGTGAATAAAAGTAAACGAACAGATGTTACGGAAATTAAGAAATAAAATCGTTTTTAACCCCTTCTTGTCCAAAGAGGGGATAACTTCAAAATTTCTTATGTAGGAGACGAGATCGAACCCTTTTAAAAAAGCAGAAATATGATAAATTACTTTGAATGAATCGTTTCTATCTACTACCTGACCGCTAATGGAATCATGTATTGTTTTACTCATACTCTTTTCCAACCACAAAAGGGGTGTTCACTAACTTGTTAGTTAAGTTCTCGATCAACACCAAAAGAAATAAAAAAAGCATCAGATTAATTACCCCTCTATGATCAATGTGCATATTTTATTTGTAATTTTAATTTGCTGGCAAAACAACAGTAATCTTAATTTAAGGAAATAACTATCGGTGTAGTAGCAAATGCAATTTTTTATATGAAACAAACTAGTGGCATAGCGATTAGTGTGCAAATATTAAGTATAAAATCATGTACACCGGACATTAAAAACATGAAACTATCTTTAGCGTTAATAATTCTCAATGGAAAATAATACTAATACATACATAATGAGGTCTGTGTAGATTTTTAAATTTCATGGTTTATATTACGGGCTGATCTTGACTCAGAAACTAAGAAGAGCCGTACAAAAAACATTTAATGCTGCCAGATTATATGCAATCTTCTACAACTATCCCAAGATAAGAACAGCCAACAAAGACAGACTGCCTGAATTCGCCAAATCTATGTGTATCTATCGTTTCAACTGCTCCTGTGGAGCCAGTTATATTGGGCGTACAATTCGGCAAGTCCGTCATCGCATTACTGAACATCATCCGTCGTGGTTAAACAAAGGACAGGTAAAAGTGATTAACAGTTCTATTCTCTCTCACTTGGTTGACACAGGTCATCAAGTCGAATTGAATAAAGCTTTTAAGGTTATCTACAATATCCCATCTAATTTGCCACATGGTTTACGAGTGCGCCTCTTGCACATTGCGGAAGCCATCGCAACCCATGTTCACAAATCTGACCTTTGCATTCAAAAGAGATTCGTACAACCACTTTCCCTGCCCTGGCCATCAGTTTAAGATTTCCTTCAAAAGAACTATTTTTCATACTTCTTCCACTTGTTTTTTTTTAACTTTTGTAATTTTATTTCTGTTGCTTTTGAACTTAATAACTTCTCAACATTCATCTCTTGATTCTTACGTAACTACCATCCTATTGACCATCTGTTAAAATTCTGTTCCCTCTTTGTTTCTTACATTACGCAACTTAGCAACTTCTTGATCACTTTGAATATTAATAATCCTCCTAATCAATATTAATTTAAATGTCATTATGTAATTATTACGTAACGTATCCACTCGATGAGTACTATATTATTATTGTAAAACGTATATATATTAGTGTAGAGCCATGATGAAAAACTAATTGAGACGAAATTTCTTCGCTCAATTCGTTCCTACTTTGCAATTCATTTAGTAATACTCTCTATTTGGTATACGTATATTAAAAATACATTAAATAACTAATACCTTCATGAGGATATTTGGTATTGATGATAAAACTCTCGGTGAACTCATAAAAGTCTGGAGAGTTTTGTTATGAATTCTCATATTACGACCCAGCTACTCTTATTGCTTAGTAATCTTGTACACTACTTCAATCGATAAGTCCCCGAATCAGAACATTA